CGGAAGTCTTCAAGCTCAAGCTAGGCCGAGACAACACCGATTATGCTGTAGCCAAAATATGATCTGTGAGCAACTTCTGAGCGCCATGAGACGGTTGCGCGAAGCCGTGATTGCCGGCATAAACCGTGCAGGTGCCGTGTTAGTCATCGCTCGTATGGGCCATCATGATCGTCTAAGCTGAAGCTTTCAATATATATTTACAGACTTGGTACCGAGCTCGCAGGCAACGTCTCTATAGCAGTTCTCCCACTAGCTGAAAGGCTGTGGACGCCGCGTTTACGCTGGTTCAGCAAACATGTCGAGCGAAATCAAGAAGTGGTAGTCCCAAGGACACGCCGTGCCCGAGATAAGATCTAAGCGTCCGATGGCCATGGGAACAGTATCAGCCCTTTGTCGCATAGCACAGTCGAACCAAGACAGCACCATGTCACCTGTCTACTTGCTGCCTGGGTGGCTTGATACGCCGAGTCCTCCATGCCTCCGGGACGTGCTCTTGCAGGTTTACAACCCATGAACCACGCAGTTAGGATTGTTCCCACGCGATTGCTCACGTTGCATGTTTTCTTTTTGCCCACCAGGAACTGACTTGCGGCTGGTCATGCCTCCTCCGCGCGATCTCCATCGAGAGTTCGAACCCGTCACGGTGTCACTGTGCAGAACCCGAGGTGGAATTCGTGAATGATGTGCATGAGGGTGAGCCGCATGTTCAAGCATATTCATGGATCTGGCTGCATCTGAGACACCGCCCTCTATCGTTGTCCCAGGGTTCGCTTACGAGAGAACAAATACATAAGCAGTGGTCGCGAGGATACTTGAGAAGTTACTAGGCAACGCAGAAGCAGGAGCAATGACGCGCAGATGGAAAATCACAGGGCATCAGGACAGTGTCATGATTTTTCAAGTGTTGTTCTGTATTGATGCTGACGCCTATGCTCTATGTCATGGCTCAGCTATCTGCCAACGCCGGAGCAGGCTGCTCGAGGCACAGCGCCTGTATGATACATCATTGCAGGTGAAGGCACCGATGTGTTTGATTTGCCATTCCAATCATAACCGTGACCCCCCATAGGACAACCCCATTGATCAAAACCCATGTCAATGCCGAACCACTCCGAAACTCAAAGCAAGCAGAAGAGTCGAGGAATCATGCCGTGGATGATAACAAGCACGATACGCTCGAGAACAGTGTCGTAACAGATAGAGGATGAAGGCCGATGAAGCGTTTAACCACCGAAACCGTAGAGGGTTCGGCCTTGTCGTTTCAACGCGTATACCACGTCCAAGGACGTGACAGTCTTTCGCTTGGCGCTGGGGAAGATGTTAGCGAACGCTTGAGGATCGATGTTTCCGAAGGATACTCACTGTTCAGTGTATGTGACAGCATCTCGGATGACACCTTCGAGGAAGGTCTTGAGGACACCTCGGGTCTCTTCGTAGATCATGGCGGAGATACGCTTGACACCACCACGGCGGGCCAGACGTCTGATGGCAGGCTTGGTGATACCCTGGATGTTGTCGCGCAAAATCTTGCGGTGTCTCTTCGCACCGCCCTTGCCGAGGCCCTTGCCACCTTTGCCGCGTCCAGTCATGTTGATGAAGTGTTGGAGTTGTTTGAAGAGATTGGAAAAGTGGTATGAGAGTTGGTCAAGACTTCGTACTGTGAACGGATGGAATGGAGGATGAAGACTGGTTGGAGGCGCGTAGTGGGGGATGTTTATGCCTGGAAGAGCCAGTCGCGCGCCCAAAAAATCAACCCGCGCGTGTTCAGATCACAGCCAATCAGAAATCAGATCCGAGAAATGCAGTCGCCATGCACAACGGGCTGCGATGGGTGTCGATGCACTGATTTCTCAACCACCACTGGTTGTATCTACTGATCTTTTGAGTGTCAACGTCGCATAGCCATTGCAATCATTTCTACAGTGAATTATACAGTTGATCATATAGATCACCTTGTGGGTGCTGCGGTGTCGCGGCGCAGAGAGGTTCGTGAGATCTTGGTGTGGTGACGCCAAGCGCCGGATCAGGCCAGATTCGGCAGCGTTTTGGATCACTGCAAAACTGCAGCGCAAAATCATGGAGCATTTGCAGCCCTGATCTGAGCACTTGTTTTGCGAATAATCAGTCACGGCCACTTTGCCCGCAGCTGCCTGTCACTCACAAGTGAATCACGCCTGCACCAGATCACGCCAAGCACGTGCCTGCGCAATCCGTTCTCCTACAAATATCTCCCTCTCCCCCACCCCAACCACTCATCTTCCTCCTCCTCATCAGCCTCACTCATCATCTCATTCAGCCAACTTTCCATCAACAACTTACACCCCAATCATCAAACTATCAATTCGCAATGGCTCGTACCAAGCAAACTGCTCGCAAGTCCACTGGTAAGTTGTGCTCACAACAGCCTCATCATGGCATCTGAACAGTGTCGCTGACTCTGTCTCCAGGTGGCAAGGCCCCAAGAAAGCAGCTCGCCTCCAAGGCCGCTCGCAAGTCTGCCCCCAGCACCGGAGGTGTCAAGAAGCCCCATCGCTACAAGCCTGGTACCGTCGCTCTCCGTGAGATCCGTCGCTACCAGAAGTCCACTGAGCTCCTGATCCGGTATGTGATGGTCCTGGCACTGCATCGTCACCGTCGACTAACCCGACTGTCACAGAAAACTCCCCTTCCAGCGTCTTGTCCGTGAAATCGCTCAAGACTTCAAGTCCGACCTCCGATTCCAGTCTTCCGCCATTGGTGCCCTTCAAGAGTCAGTCGAGGCCTACCTCGTCTCGCTCTTCGAAGATACCAACCTCTGCGCCATCCACGCCAAGCGTGTCACCATCCAGTCCAAGGATATCCAGCTCGCCCGCCGTCTCCGTGGTGAGCGATCTTAGATGACAGCTTGTGCTGCTTTCAACTTCTCGATCATGACAACTGGTACTTGGGAATGTTGAAGCATGGAGTGGTTTGAGTATGGGGGTTTCACGAATGACACAACGGCGAAATGGATGATTCACACAGGGCTTGTATTGCTGTATTGCTTTTTCAGACATTGAACATGGGGTGGTTACTGGGAATTTGGCGTCCTCTTGCTTCCTGCTTGTGCTTGTACATCACAGCATGGTTAGCAGTCATCATGAAACTTGACCTGGACAGCAAATATGTGCTGCATCAGATAGAATCTGAATACAGTTCAGATCAACTCATCAGACGAACAAATTCTGCCTTGCTTCCATTCCCTCCAGCGGTTCTTCTAGATGTTTGCGATGACTCGAGGTGTGTCCTTGTGTGCAGAGTGCAGGATTTCGGGGGTTGATGCCTAACATGGACCGCGTCAGGGCCCCCGCTACGGGCGTCATTGGGCAGCAATCCGTGGACCTGCATAACCCGGAACAGATCTTCGGGGCTATGGCGTCTCTAAATTGCTCCAACATAGGGATTAGTTTTGCGCAAATCTCCAACGCATAACGCTTCTTAGAGGTCGCTGACATTTCTATTCATCATGGGATCCCGCGCGAATGATGCACCCACTGCAACGGGCAGCGTTCAAGTTCAGCGCCAGGTCGCCCTGGCTGCGGCCACGAGCACAGGGATTGCGAGGGCGACATAAGCAACAAGCGCAGAGAAACTCCTCCACAACCCCCCCGAAAGACCAACCCGGTCCCGGACCAGCCAAATCCAATGACTTGCCTCCTCACTCGCTCAACGAGGTGCCAGTCGGCGAGACCGCGAAGCCCATCGAGCCGGTCGACATCCCCATCCAGCTATGGTATCACCGACTAGGGCCCGTGTCGGACTTCTTCAGATGGTTCCATCGCACGCAGGCGAAGAGGCCTTACACGGTCCAAATATGTACGACTTTGACAACCTACCTATGCGGTGATCTCCTCGCGCAGGATATCGGTGGAGAACTCTACGATCCTTGGAGGACGCTGCGAATGTTGACTATCGGGGCGATTGCTGCGATTCCTGGATATAAGTGGTAAGACACCAACGGGCCCGTTGATAAAGCCTTGAGACAAGCGTGCGCTTGTAACATACGAGACAGGAACATTGAGAAGCTGACGAGAGCATGCTTTGCAGGTTTCTTTTCCTGGGAAGGAACTTCAACTATTCCTCCAAAGTCGCATCGATTGCCACGAAGGTTGCTGTTAATCAAGCGGTGTTCACACCCGTGTTTAACTCCTACTTCTTCGGCATGCAAGCGCTGCTGACCGGCGAACATGCTTCAGGCATAATCACCCGCATCAGGACCACGGTACCTGTCAGCATGCTCAACTCCTTGAAGCTGTGGCCCGCTGTCACGGCGTTCTCGTTCGCCTTCATTGCGCCGCAGTACAGGTTCATGTTCTCGGGTATCTTTGCCGTGGCGTGGCAGTGCTATTTGAGCTTCTTGAACAGGAAGGAAGAAAAGATTGAGGCGCAGGTTGATACTCTGAGTCACCCTGTGATACCGGAGGGGACGGTCGTGAAATAGAGCTTTACAAGGGACAACCTCAAAGATCTGGTTCCAGATGATGACGACTTAGAAGGAACAGATATGTACGACAGGGCGTGCATACAGATCTAGCAGGATTCAAAATGGGCAGCGAGCATGCATTTTGGAGGACCGATAGATATCTGCGAAACCGGTGCCAGGAATAGGCTGAGTGAACACCATAGAGTATGGCCAGTAAATAGAACATAGGCAGCAATGTCAGCCTAATTATAGAGCAAACCAGAATGGCAGCAATATCTAATCGATTGGGTCTCATCTTCTCGTACCTGTGTGCTTGTGCCCCACGACGCGTCAACATCGACCGCGATTGACCAGGCAGAGGTAACTCAAGTCTACCTTTGCCTGAGGGCGGGAAACAAAACAACTAATTCATTTTCACCATGCCTCTACTTCAAACCCACAGCGGGGGGACGACATATGTAGGGGAGCTTGTCGCTCTCGTACGTTTCAAAGCGTGGCGGAAGGTTAGTGAATCATGACGCCTACATCGCCATTATTCGCCCACTATCAGTCCTCAGCGATGTCAACGCCAGATCTCGAAGTGGACATGCACCTTGACTCGGATTATCACAAGGAAACAGCAAACGCGCACGAAGATGCGGACCTCGACGAGTACAGTGACTTCGCCGACGACCCTGAGACGCTTGAGATAATCGATCAACTCCTTCTCGAGGCGGCCAACCAGCGGAAAGAAGACGCGTTGGCAAACGCGCCTTTGGTTGTGACAGACATAGAGGACTATGAGGACCCTCGGGGCGTTTATCTGCCTAAGGTGCCTGGTGTTGGGACGAGGCGTCAATGGCGGCTTCAAAGCCAATCTGCTGGGAACCAGCAACAGCAGAACATACGCGACGAAAGTGGTGAGCAATCCGGCGTAGATTCCACTGCTTGTCTTGCTGACAAGCTGACCAGCGGCTAGCCGAACGAAGACGCAGTCAAGGCGATAAAGAAGTCCCACAGGCTCCGAAGGGCGAGTCTTCTCAGCCAAAAGACGATGGACAAGACGCAGCCCTCCAACCCACTGGGCCAGACCCTCGATCCCCCCTCGAACGATTCCGCAAACCACCCAAGAAAGCCCTCTCTGTCACCGATCTCATCTCTCCGTCGTGGTGCGAGTTGCAATATTACTACGTCCTGACCAAGCATGGTCGCAAACGGAGGACACCTGCCATGAAACAAGGGAGTGCTGTCCACCAAGCACTTGAAGATGAAATCCATACCACAGTCCCTGTGGAAATTACCAAGAAAGAGGACAGCTGGGGTTTGAGGATGTGGAACATTATCCAAGGTCTGCGCACGCTCAGAGAGACAGGCAAGACCAGAGAGCTGGAGATCTGGGGATCGATTGGCGGAGAGCTGGTCAATGGAGTTATCGATGAGCTCAGCTACGAGTGTCCTGATCCGAAGCTGGAAGAGATGAGCCAAAACCTACAGAAGAAGAAGGATGTTGAGCCCCCACTGCCGGAGTATCAGGCGAGTATCAGGGACTATCTTGTTACAAGCGAGAACAGACAACTAGGCCAGTCGCTACAGCAAGCCCTCGGAAATGATGGTGGTGGCGACAACTCTAGCCAGCCAGACCAAGCTTCACGTCCAAGCAGAACCCGAAGCGACGACAGGAGGATCTACATCACCGACGTCAAGACACGACAAACACCGACCTTGCCAACCGGTTCAGCCATTCGACCCACACTCGTTCAGCTCCACCTCTATCATCACATGCTCGAAAGTTTGGCCCAAGGGAAACTCATGCTTTCTCAACTGGCAGAGAGATATGCCTTTGATGTGAATGAGACTTTCTCAGACTCATTCATTGCTCAGATAGGCGGGCTGAATCAAGAGCTCTTCGCCATGTCCCAGCAGAGTGACGACATGAGGTACGACAACCTCGTGCCATCGTCAACTCAGGACTCGATGGATATCCTCCTCCAGCACAACACGCTGGCAGCCCTGTGGGAGTTCATGCTGGATCAGCTTCGGCAGACGTTCATCCTTCCCTCTGAATCCAGCTCATCTTCAATCCCAAACACTACGAGTGGCCAACCGAACACCACGACGGCAGGTCACGACTTCCAAGACCCGACCATCCCACCGCCTTCCTCTCTATCGCAGCTTCCCACGCCGCCCTCCCAACCGACCCGCCTCTCCCCGATCCTCACGGCCCGCTACATCGCCACGAACTACAACCACTCCGACGGCACCCGCGTTCTGGGCAGCAAGTCCCTCCTGTTCAACCCGTCGTTCCTGACCTCCCAACTGTACGCGTCGCTTGGGTTCTGGAAAGGAGACAGAGAGCCCAAGGGGGTCGAGGTCAATGATGCGTGGAAGTGCCGCGCCTGTGAATTTCGTGACGAATGTGCTTGGGTCAAGGAACGGGATGAGGTCATGGTCAGAGAGGCAAGGGAGAGGAGGAGGTTGAAAGAGGAGATGGAGAAGGGCGAAGATGGGGATACCGCTAAGGGGAGAAGGAGTCGTGTGTGAGGGTTTGATATGGTAGGACTTTGTCTTTTCTGGGTTGGAGGTACATTTGAGGGCACAACGTACTCTACAGCAAAAGCTGTACGGTTCGAGGCTTTTCGAGAGTAACGCTGATGAAGCATGCACGCATACATTCGTGATATTGGGACCCACCCTTTTTTTGGCCGAGACAATGCTGAGATGAGAGCTGATAACGAAGTACTGGACGGTGTACCATTGCAAGCACATAGATGAGGCGAATACTGAGACTGAAGTAGAGAAAGCTGACGTGGACGCTCAGTACATACATGTATATACGGAGGAACTTGCGTGCTTCATTCTAATTTTTGGGGGGCAATCGATCCATGATCCCCACCAACCAGTATGCTAACCCCCTCGAATCATTCACCATGGATAACTCCTCTTCTCGTCCTCTTCTTCCAACTTCAAGCCCCTGTCCAGCTGCTCCTGATGCTTCTTGTCGAGATACTCGAGCAAGACGGCCTCGTACTTCTCCTTGCCCTTGTACCGACTCACGTCATCGCCCCAGCTTCTGACAGCGCTGGCCAGCCGGCCGGGGACATAATCTTCCTGCGCGACCTCGGTGATCGGGTGGAAGTAGGTGCGAATCGTAAACACCACGCCGCCGCTCTTGGGCAGGCGGCGCAAGCTCTGCCGCTCGGAGCGGAAGTAATGATGCTCGATGGCGCGGTTCTTCTCGGCCGTGTTCCAGCTGATGTGCGGCAGGTCCTCGCTGCCGATGCTGTACGACCACGCGAGATCCTCGTCCACCTGCAGGAAGTAGTTGTTCCGCGCGACCAGCTCCTCGGGCTTGAGGCGGCGGAAGAAGTTCATCATGCCCTTCTCGAGCTTCTCGCGGTACTGCGGCACGTCGCCCGAGGTGTGGATCTCGCTGAGCGGCATGCCGTACTTGTCCTCCAGCCGCCAGAAGCCCGCGAGCAGGATCGCCCCGGCGAGGAGGTAGTATTGGCCGTCGGGCCGCTCGATCATGATGGCCAGGTCGTCCTGCACGAGGCGCGCCGCCGTCTGCATCGGGTCTTCGGGCAAGGGGTCGCTTGTCGTATCGAGTTCTTCGCCGCTCCAGAGGTTTTTGATGCCCTTGTCCGTGCGGGCGTAGAGCGAGGGGTATCGATCCGGAAGGTAGGACCGCAGTTCTTCCAGGAGTTCGAGGGCCGCGGGGTATGCATCCGGGTGGGTTCTGCAGCATTTGTGGCCGCGTTCTTTGATGCGCCGCGTCTTGTCGCTGTGGTAGCGGGGGAAGTGGTTGTCTAGTTCGATCCAGTCATCCCATTTGATGTTGCGGAGCCCCATGGTTTGGAAATACTTGGGGCCATAGCGGAAAGGGCGGTAGGGGAGCGGCTTGGTGCGTTCGATGGACCAGTTTTCATAGGGCGGTGGTTTGGGCCGGACGAACGTCGAAGGCGGCCATGTTCCTGGTTTACGTGTGGACTGGGGAGGGCTGGTGTGGTTTGCTTTCTCGAGACGTGGTGTCGAGGGAGTTGATGGGCGAGATGGCGTGCGCGAGTGTCGGTAGGATATGTATCGCGCGACGGTGACGGTGAGGAAGAGCAGTAGTATCAGGCCGGAAGCGATTTCTTTGAAGTGAGGTTGCTGGGATAGCCTGTGGAAGTCTGTCTGGGCCGAGCTCAGTGCTGAGGAGCAGTGGTGTTTCGATCTCTGGAACTGAGCTGTCGCCTCATCCAGGAATGGCCGTACGTGTTCCTTTGCTTGATCGGCATATGGTCGTATGTGTTCTCTGGCCTGGTCGACGTATGGCTGTGACCGAGCGATCAGGTCGGAAACTCGTCGTCTGATGGTCTCTGAGTCCATGGTGCGGGCGGCGTTGTAGCGCGAGTGGATTGTGAGAGTGAATATGCCCCAAGGAGAAGGAAGAGCAGTGAGAGGCCCTGCATATATGAAGAGGTAGGCTGTGGACAGGATGTCTGGATTCGAAACACCAGCCCACCGAATTGGTCGCGCCAAACGCTTGCCTACCCCAGATATTGGATATTCCAATCACGAACAAGTAGCACAATGGCTGTTATCGCTTTGCCCCTCGCCATCCAGTGAAGTTCTTATCAATCGAGGTGTGATGTCAAAATGGGTTTCCTTCGTCCAATCGTGGGCCACGTTGTTCCTGGACAAAACTGCCTGTTTGGGGATGGCGATTTTCTCTTCTCAGGGCCACGAACGGCTCGCGGCAAGCCACCGCGACCTCCCAATTATTGAGGCCCACGGACATGGGCGCGGCTCTGACTCCGGAGGTATATGTTCAAGGCAATTACCACAAATACAGCCTGCTCAGCTGTTTGGAAACTAGACGTCTCCTGACACCTGCTCTCAGGGCGTTCTCCGGCGCAGCAGGCAATGTTCTCCCCAATGCCGGCGATACCTGGGTGGTATTACTGGTAGATCAGGTATCCAAATGGTCCGGGCAAGGAGTCCTGTCTCCGAAGCATCTAAAAATGGTGCGCAGACGACCCTTTCCCAGTGCTCTTCGTCCGCAATGTAGAGAGGTTCGTGCTCGGTGGCCTCCATCCCGGGCATGTACGAGTCGACAAGGAACGTGCAATACTGGACGTCAATATATTTTCCAGGATCTTCCTGGTTTCGATCATTCATTCCGGGCGGTACCAACCAGGTGCCAGCAAAGAACCCGAATCCAGTCTTGCCCTCGTGAAACTCGCCGGGCAGGAGTCCATCAAATTCACTTTTGACGAACTTCGCGTGGACGCCGTTGGGGAGAAAGTGTGAAGAGGGGAAGCGATACCAATCCTTGCCAAAGCAGACTGTGTCCGCTGGGTGGGTCGTGTTCAATGTCCCCAGAGCGTCGTATATCTGCAGGGGAGCTCGATATGCAGTGACTGTGCCAACGATACGCAGCAGGCCAACGTTGATCGACAATAGGACGACAGGGAGGATAACAGCCAGTTTCGCTTTCGGAGGGATGCTGCCGAAGATGATCGAATCTGTTGACCCGATCCACGCTAGAAGAGAGTGAAATGCCATGGCAGCATTCAATGCCAGGAAGGGGTATGCCGGAAACATGAATCGTTCTTCTTTGTGAGGCTGAAGGGTGAAAATGCCCAGCCAGAGGTAGAAGGGTGAGAGGAAGGTGATTGTCCTGAGAATTGATTGCTTCGTGGTGTGCTGTCGCAGAATCATCGCCTGGAATAGGTAAAGTGGCGCGGAAATTGCTGCAAGAACGAACCAGATGTTGAAGTTGAGCAGCAGATTACGAATATAGTAATGCCATGGCTCGGTCCCAAATATGTCCGGTCCACGGTCTCTGCCGCCAAAGATATTGTATGCCACAATGCGCCAAGGCACGACGATGACTTTGTGGTAGAAGAACGTGTCAATGCTGACTTGGAGAGCTAGCACGACCAGACATCGGACGAAACCATCCAGATACCGCCTCAAGGCTTCGAAAAGATCGCTCTGGCCTACTAGTGCAATGAGCCAGTCCTCAACGACAAACGGAACAATCAAAGCACCCGAGAAGGGCCACCCCAGGAGTGCGCCAATGCCAAACCACATAATGCCGGCAGCCGTTTTGGTTCCGCCATGCCAGTTCATAAAGGCCGTCAGTCCCAGGGTAGAGGTGTACATGGCGAAACTGGACGGCAAGAACGCCGAGGAAGCATAGAAAAACCCCGGTGTGAAGGCAACAATCATGAGGTATATCACCCCGACTCTCGGATTGATGGTCCGAGATATAGTGGAATAGAGACGAACTTCGGTCGCCGCGCAAACCAATGCCAGCATCACACGAAGTGTGAAGAACTCGAAAGTCTTTGATCGCCCAAAAAGGCTGGCGACCTTGACTGGGACGGCATGTAAGGCAATATAAGCCCAGCTTCGTATGCCGAATTCTGGAGAATACTCCCATGTCTGAAGGCCGTAGCCATGGCTGAGGTAATGCAAGGATTCCCAGTAGTTGAACGTTTCATCGCAGTCTTGGATCGGAGCATACAACGCAGCGAGGATGTGCGAACCCAAGCATAGGTAAAAGGCAATATCCAACGGTAGATAGAATTTCGTAGGCGCTGGCTGAGGAGTAGGTTGACCTTTGGCTCTTGACTTCATCAGTGTGTTACTCCTCGACTTGGATCTGTGCCTCACCCTCGAGGTAGCTTGATTGGGTCCGTTCGCCTCTTGAAATCTTCTAGGCTTGGGTCCATGTCTCTGTCGTCGGCATCTACTGCAAGAGGAATGTGTCAGGGGATTCGAAATGGTTGTCGACAAGACACAGTCCAGGTCCAAAGGAGACAGATGTGTGATCCAAGCGACCTTCCCCTTTCCGGGCAAGCGTCCCGGGATACGGAACATCTTTAATCCGAGTCGGTTCTCCCCCTTCGGCCAGCCACCATGTCGTCGTTGACTACAGTATTGACCAACAAAAGAAGCGTCAGGCATCACTGATGTTTCTCGATTCATTCTTCATGCCTGCTCCTCCTTCTGTTGCCCAGAGCGACTAGCTTGATCGGCGTATTGCGCGTACGCTGCTCCTTGACGGTAATACCTGGAGGTGATTGATTGTAGCCTCACTTTCCACTTGGTCCGTGGAAAGTCAAAGACGTCGAGTACGGGCACAATATAGCTAACCACTTAGGAACCAATGTGTCACCCAGCTGTTCCCTCCGTAACGCCAATATGCGGCTGCAATTCTTGCCATACAACCCTTCAAAAGACTCTTATGACCTCGACGAGACTGCCGAAGAATCACCCCAGCAACACGCTGCCAGGGTGTACCATCGGAAGGCGAAGTTGCTCAGAAAAGCTGCCGGCAACAGTCAGAAGTCGGCGGCAAATCGCAGCCAGGGGCCGGCGGCGAAGGCCAAGTCGGGTGCCGGTCCCCCAAAACCTGAGTCGGTCTTCTACAATGATAAGAGTGGCAACGTTCTTGCGACATCCGGCACGACAGATCCTGGTCCGGTGACCGTCCTTGGAGCTGGCCGGATTGACCCTTTCGATACCTATTGCACATCAGACCACTCACTGATCATACATGAGATGCTCGATCATGCCATCTCTTTCCAGTGGACACTTTTCGCTCCAGACGACAAGCCGGAGTCTCTCCTTATGGCAAAGAAAGCCGTCATGGATACGGCGATCCGCTTCCCTGTATGCTTCCACACTCTCGTCTACTCTGGCGCAACGCATAAAGCTTTCCACCAGTCACCAACGGTCGACAACCGCGGAAGCGCGCTCCTGCGCTTGAGGAGTAAAGTGGAGGCATTGAAGGCCCTGAGGAAAGCTTCACAGTCCAGCGAAGCGGCATTGAGCGACGGAGTCATCTTCGCCATGGCTCTGTTGGCGATACTGGGATATGGAGAGAAGGTCACCTCGGTGACAAAGCACGAGAGGAGAACGATGGCCGCCCAGCAAGACGGCCAATTTTATGCTTCAATGGAGTACGAATGGCGACACTGGAGGGCGCTTATCGAAGTATTCAAACTGAAAGGAGGACTACATACAATTCAGTTCCCAGGTCTTGCCTTTGCCATCGCTTCGTAAGTGGACCCAGTCGAGCAGCGCCCTCGTACATCACTCGCTGAGACGGACCGCAGCTTTGACATTCACACTTCAATGATGTTCCAGACGAGACCTGCTTTTCCTTTATTCATGCTTTCGTCACTCGTTATCGGCTCTTGGTCGACTAATCAACCCAGCAGCCCTGCAATGCTGAGATTGTCTGCTCTTACCTCTGGCTTTGGGTTCTTGGAAGACCTATGTTTAACAGAGGCCATCGACCTCCTGACCGTACTGCGTGGAGTCCGCGACATAACCATTGCCTTCGATAGTTACCAACACGGCGAGCCTGAAGCCCCACCAATCAAACTCATCATCTTCGCTCGAAATTTGAATCAGCATGAGCTCCTAACCCTGCCGGACTTATCGGGAGGACTATACTGTGACGATCTCGGCCAAAGTAGCCCGCCGGCCACAACACGTCAAGCCCTCGCACTGTACGAATTGTGCCGACTATGTGCCTTTGTCTTTCAAATGACGGTTCTCCTGCCGAATCTCCACGACAACATAGACGTCACAATTCCATATGCTCATCGCATCCGACGGTGCCTGCAGATCGCAACCACCGACTTGAGCCTGCATGGGGACACAAAATACCATGACTTGCTCCTCTGGGCGACCCTCATGACCGCCTGGCTCGTCAAAGGCACCTACCTTTACGACTGGTTTGTTGACTTCTTGGTGGAACACGTCGGTGCGGCCAACATCGGTGGGGGAGACGGTGGCCTCCCGAGCGTCTCCCAATGGCCAAGAGTCAAGAACATACTCTCCAGCTTTCTTTGGCTGGACAGTGAATGCCTTGCACCTTGTGCCTGGGTGTGGGAAGAAGTCGAAGCTTCACAAATTCCAAATGAGAAGTGCGCAGTTTGATCTTCACCTATCTCATATATTGGGTATCACCACCGCAGTACTCCTATTTGGCTACACATGAGGCTTCTCTTCAGGAACCTTCGGCCGATGAATGAGCACAGGATCGGGATCAGTGCTGAGATGTGTATACCATGCTCTCCACCCAATCACATTTTGCTGGCTCGTCCCCCAAGCTTGCCAGCAACTTCGACCCCAGGCAGGGTGCAAACACCATGGTGGCACTCATTCTGTCCAAAGCTCTCGTCCGTCGCCATACTACAGTACGAGCAATTATCAGCATCATACCGGCCCTGCTTTCGAATGACCGTATCACTGACTCACCAGTTTCCGAAGCGGTGAGACATTGAAAGAACATCTATGCCTCACAATGAGAGCGCATCCGAACTCGTTGTGGGAATACATTGACTGAGTGTTCGGCCCTCCCTCGGCTGTCGCACCACTGAAGGCATGGACTGAGCGCTGCATTGGTTTCCCGATGTCTTCATGAGGCGCACATCCGAGTGTTCGTGGGGAGCCGGAGAACTCGTCTCCTGATTTCAGGCCGAGGGTCAACGAAGTGGATGGCACCGTGGCTGGGCGAAAGAATGTCGCGGATGATTTTGCCCACCGAGAGGCTGGCAATGAAGCTGTCAGTTTGTCGACCGATGGCCCCTCTCGGTTGGAAAAGCTTCGAGGACAAGAAATCCGCCGACTACGTCGAGGCGGCACACAATGTACCCCCCTAGGATATGGCCAGTTGACGCAATGTTCTCGCTCCTGGGCACGGGGAGAGGCGTTGGTACAATATCTTATCCGGAAACGGGATTCGGCAACTGCACTTCACGTCGAGTCAACAGTTGGGCAATGCGTTCAGAGTTTGCCTTGCTTGAGAACAGTGGCGATCGAGCAAAGTCCGGGAATTTGGATCTTTGAAGCCAAGAAAGAAACATCGCAACTCTTTAGAGTGTCCAGCGTGAGGTGGCAGCAGTCCGCCTCCAAAAGCCACGAAGACGCAATCCGCAGTCGCGCAATACATACATAGCCTGGGCAACGCTCGGCGAGGTTGCGGTTGCAACACTCGACCGTCCATTTCCAGCATCCCGAATATCGTTGGCATAATTAGCCACGATCGGCTGGAGAACTCCAGTGATGCACTTACCGTGGTGTCGACTGATTTGGCTAGCGGATCCTGTAGCGAAAATGCAAAATATTTGCCCCCGTCCCGCTGGGCTGCCACGTGCGAAGTGGGTATCCTGCTCATACTGTATAGCGACGAATAGCAACATATTGAAAAGCCAGCGAGCAGTCGGTTTTGGCGGACATGGCAACCTGGAGCGGCAGATACAGCATTCGTGGGTCCTCCAGCGTGGGCCTTTAAAAAAGGGCACGCGCTTTTGTGCGTACTATATACGGTTTGCTTCGCCTTGCTTTGCTTTGCTTTACGTCCCAACAGCGTGAGCGCTCGGCGCATTTATTCTGACCAGCCTATACGAATCTACCCGTTTGTTTGCTGAGAAGCGTCAAGTAAAGGCCTTACACCTACCTACCACTCCTCCCGGTATTTTAAAGACGTGCCTTGGCTGTTTCGGCGCGACCGGCGCTAGAATCCACGGTCAACGACTCTGTTGCTCGGGCACTTCACGACTTTCTCACCTCTCACTTCACAGGCCAGCCGATTGTCTTGATGAACTCCTCCATGTCCTCTAGCATTTCCTTCGGTTTCTCCATGGCGGCGAAGTGGCCTCCCTAGCGATCGAGCGCGAGCTCCCACGTTAGCTACAAGTAACAAGCCAGCCAGCCGGGCCGTGGGTGTAGAGGTAGATTGCGCGGGATTCTATTCCCGGAAGTGGGCGTGGCGGTCACCACTCACCGATTTGTGCTGGCGGAACAAGACAAGTTTGTGGCCCTGCTTTTCGACCCATTCTCTAGGCACGGGCGCCAGTTCCTTCGGGAACCACGAGTACGCGACCGGCTTGTCGTTGTTATATTTTGGATTACCGTGCGGTAGACCGCGGCTGCCGGGGACGGAGAACTGAGCAACCCCCGGGGGGTTATCAATTAGCATGTGATTGACGAGAGGGTGATCCCCTATTGGGGGACTTGGGAGTCTGAGTCTGATTCTGATTCTGGGATGGGCGGCTCGCCATACCTCGCGATAGCAGTAGATGCAACGGGGGAAGGACTCGGTGAACCAGTAGAGGGTGATGGAATCGAGGATCTGCGTCAGAGGAGGGGTTTCGTCGGTCCATTCTTGGAATTTCTCGCCGATCCTGTGCGGTGATGTCGACATCAGTACTCGTGTTCGTCCATGGAGCATGTCCATTCACTGATGGATGGGTTTAGGAGCGGATGGACACCGAGGGTTGCCGGTGATTCTTACCACGCGAGCTGGGCGAGTGGACTCGACGCCAGGACGAAGCCGATGGTCGCGGGCCTGGTGCCGTGTTCTCGCGCATACCCGTTGCCGGTCATGTAGAATGCCTTCATCCGTTCCATGCCTTGTCTCTCCGTATCCGTGATTTTGCTCTCGTCTACATCTTTCGGCGGCTCGCCAGCGACGGCAAAGTTGTCTGGGTGGTTGGTTAGCCAAGTTCCAAGCTGGACGCTCAGTGCTTCCCATTGCCCGGGATACTCACAGTGGACACCTTTAGGGATAGCCTTGTGTCAGCATTGGCCTGCTTTTCGATCACCCTCCGAGCTCACCTTTACACTCGTCATACGTCCCGGCAATCACTTTGGACGTGAAGGAGCCGATATCACCGCCCTGACAGATGTAGCCGCTCCCAAACCCTAGACCGATCATGAGTTTGTTCATGATGCGAGCAATGTCCTCGGTGTCAAAGTCGCGGTCCAAGGGAGGCCCCGAACTGAGCGTCCAGCCAGGCAGCGAAACGGCAATGGTGTGGTAGGGTAGCTCTTCGGGCGAGTACTTGTTGCGGTACAGGTCGAAGATGTCGAGATGTTCAAAGTGGCTACCGGGCCAGCCGTGCATGTAGAGCAGTGGCACGGCGTTCTCCTTCTTGGAAAAGAGAGCGATGAAATGGATCTTGAAGACATCGCCGTTGTCATCTTTCACGTGGGCGATGAAGTTGGGGAAAGAGTTGTTGTGCTTCTCGGTCGCACGCCTGGATCGTCAATCGTCAGCATGTTTCGCGGTGGCCTTGCAAGCATCGTCTGGTAAGAGAGGGATATACCAGTCGTATTCGTTCAGCCAGAAGTCTTTGGCCTTGCTCATCCATTCGTGGCTGACGCCAAACTTGCCATCCTTGGCGTTGGCGTGGAGGTTCTCATATGTCTTTGGAGCTAGTTTGGAAAGCCGGAGTAGGTCTTTGAAATCCTGGAGTTCTTGATCCGGAATGGACAGAGTGAACTTGTCCACTTGTATATTTGCCCCCTGAGGGATTGTGTCGTAGCCTGACATGATGTGGTTCTTGCAACACAAGCAGGCAGGAATGAAGGTGGTGGTAGTCTAGGAAGTAATGGGGGAGATCGAGTACAATGGTGATGGAGGTAAGCCGCTGACTAGATCTACCGTTGACGACAAAGTGGGACGTTGACGGACGATTACTCAGGCCAGTACCTGCAATGCCCCTCGACCATTGCTGGCTGATCGAAGGTGGTTTGGGTCGACTCGAGCGGACTCTGTTCCCTCAAGACTCTGGTGTATGTCTCCTGCTCGCATTCGCTTTGATATTTGCTGTAGGTTGGGCCAAGTCAGCCTAAGACCGGCATATCAGATGGCAGAAGGCACGGATCCCCTCCTCCATCCCACCCTCGTCCCCTCCACATGTTCGTACTTCGTACCTACTATCTGCTGCGTGTCTTGTGTGGGGCCAGACTCCCCGCAAGCCATGTAGAGGGAGGTACTCCGTATTCCTTTGGAACACCATCCTGCGAGCTGCACCTGGACCTGCCATCCAGATTGAATTGTTGCTTGCGATCATTTCAATGACAGAGTAGCGTTCTGACAGTTACGCTGGCCGTGTTCTCGTGGCTGCTCCTACGCTGCTTCCATAGCGTGGTAGGCCACCACTTCCCTCCCAATGTACCTCATCGCGTCCATCTCACCGGCCGTCCATTCCTCTATAGCTTTGTCCGTGTCCAATCTCCAGGTTATGTCACATGCTCCATCCAAACTGAGCGGGCGGCTTAGCGAGCCGGTGGTTGACCGAAAGGAATCCCAGACTCTTTGCGCCGAGTTCCCCCCCTTTCGAAAGCTGCAGTCTCGTAATGAACTCCTGCATGTTCAGCTGCTGGGCGAACTGGCCATCCCTTCTTTCAAGATGGACTAACGCATGTCGGTTAAGCAGCACAGCGTTCTTGTCGCAGAGGACCGTTCCGCTTCTAACTCGAAGTGCTCGGAGCTAGTCACAATGCCCATGGAATGCAACGCTTGTTCCCGGGTTGTGATGCACAGGATCAATCAGTCTCGTCGTCCATCGTCAGCCTCAGGCGATTTTTGCAGGCTCACAATCTGGGCCCGGCAGGTAGGTGGATCTTCCATCGACAGTTCGTCTACCTTGTCATGATCCTGTTTGGTCAAGCGACCGACGAACGGGACCTCGCTAGTCACGGACGAGAATGAGGCCTAGAGTCACGCTCTCAAATGCCGCCAAGTCGCTCTCTGACAGGGGCAAAGCTCGTTGGTTACCAATCTAGCCGCAATGTTGCCAGCAAAATGCCTGAAATCCGCGCTTCTACAGCCACCGCACAACGTCCTGCGAGACAAAACTCACTCGCTACAAGCGGAACAAGCTTCCAGTCCTTCAGCTTCGTCGATCAAGATGGCCAACTGCGAGCGCCCTTCAGCCAAATGGGAATGGTGATGGGAAGTCCGGACGCCAGCTACTCGCATGGCCCATCGCCTTTTCGGCTCACCCTATCTTGACCCAAGCCCTCCTCGGTTCTGCCTCTCGCCACGCCTTGATATGAATCTGGCCGACAGCAATCCTTTCAAATACACCGTCGCCAGATTGTAAGACCAGGACGTTCATCAACGCACTACCCGGCCCCTTCGTGGGGAACTCATAGGGATCGAATCGCTTGATATCGCCCTCAGCCCTGCTCAGGGCGGCGCGGTCTCCATACATATCTTTGGTCTGCGAGATCGCGACGAGGGGTTTATCATTCAGCGTGCGCAGCATCTCAATGTTTTGTCTGACAATCTTCGCGTCTGTGGAAGACGAGGAGGAGATCCGCTCGAGCAAAGCATGGTAGTCCATATGTTCGAAGAGAATACCGCAGTGCTTGCCATTCTTGTCGTGAATGCGCACGACAGCCTGCTTCGTCTGCAAATACACGTGTCGAACGCTACTCAGGTAATCCGGTGCTCTGCCTGCGTAGACGGAGAATCCGGCGTTCAAGACGTGAGGGACAAACAGGTGCAGCGTGGTATCTGGCGTTGCTTGTCGCACTTCTACGCTCATGCGGCCGAAATGTGCCCTCAAGAGTTCGGGTGAGGCTTTGGCGGTCTCGTCGAGACAGGGCCGCTGGTACCCGCCCGGGCGGAGTATTTTGCCGGCTCGAAGGATGTAAATTTCTGCAATGAGCGACTCAGGAGGGGGTTCTTTGTCTAGTGGTAAAAGGCGGTAGTCAACACCACCGATCCAGCCTGCCCAGGACCATGTTGGGAAAGTATGCCCCGTTGTTGCAGGCGTCGACGGAATGGACGAGGCCGCAGGAGATGGAGATGTGTCTGTTGGCTTCCTCCCAGGTCTTTCCTTCAGCGTCTTGGTTGGAGTCCACAAAAGGGCCAGGTCAAGGACGGCAATGGGGAGGCCATGCAAAGTCTCGCTTTTGAATTCCTTTTTGAATGCTGAGAGCATTCCGGAGAACGCATCAAAGATGTCCGTTGGCAGCGTCAAGTTGCGTGTCGTGTACATCTCCACCAGTTCGCTGTAGGCCTTGAAGACCCCTTCTAGATGATCCTGTGGCGGGATGCCACGTAGCTTCCTGAGCTCTGAGACTGGGTTCTTGATAGTGATGGCGGTCGTCTGATCATCGTCGTTCTCGTCGTCCTTGGAGTTGTTGATATACTTCCCTTCCAAGGTGACTTCGCAGAGGATCTTCTCGTTGCACTGAAAATACACATAACTGGATGAGAAGTAGATGTTTCGACGCGCCAGCGTCTGTTCCTGTAAGATCCAGCCACGCGTATTCCACATCGAGCTTGTCTGAGCAAAGGAGAGTGGATGGGGAGTGGCGACGATGCAGACCGCTTCTGTCTCGGCGCCGGGCTCGTCTCGCAAGGCCAGATCCGTGGAGCCCTTGGTGATTTCGAGCACTTCAATCCTTTGAGGAGATCTTGAATTGGCTGTAGCACCTGGTAGTCCGCCATTGGCATCAGTACCGGAGAGGGCCACCAAGTTAGCGAATGCTTTCTTGTACACGATATCCATCCGCGTTATATCTCGTTTGCGTCTGACGGTATCGTCCTGGATTATGCAAAGCGCATCGGTCCATAGGTACCGCTCGCCCATGGCTCGAACCACAGTCATCGCGTCCCTTATTGTGTTAGGGAACTCTGACGGATCCAAGCTCGACTTTTGCAGGCGATCCTTGAGCAAGGCGATCGTGGTAGTGGCAATGTCAACTTTCCCCCAGACGTAGCTGAGAGTCAAATACCTCTCTGCGGATGTCGCAGAGACCAAGCAGTTGTCCTGAACGTCAACCAGAATCAATGGTATGTCACCGGCGTATCTGTGACTGTCGCCCAGATTGTTGCAGAGTTCTCCATGGTGACTATGACACTCGTAGAGCCAGCCACGTATTTTTTGGAAGTCTACTCTTTGATCTCCTTGGTCAATCGGAAGTCCAGCTCCATGCGCATTTTCGAGGACAGATCTCAAACTGGATACTCGTGTTGTTTGTCTCACGGCTGCTGGCAGATTTCTGTGGTTGACGATTCTCAAGGCTCCAACAGTCATCATGCCATATTCCACGCCCAGCAGAATCTCGCCAGAAGGGAGTTTCTGCGCATGAAATTGTGTGCCTTGAATCTCTCGATCAATCTGAGCCAGTTGCGGATGCAGGGAGCTCCCCTCGTCCGCTGAACAGAGGGATAACACCAAGCGACAGATGGAACAGTGCTTCCTGGTGAGCAGCTGAGCAAATGTCCCAAAGGGAAAGTATTGCTGAGTATTCCAGGTAAACGTCGCGCCAGGTTCCGCAGGCTTGAGCAGCTTGACGTATCTGCATACCCGGCAAAGTTTAGGATTGGGGGGTTTTCCTTGCTCTTTGTCCTTTTCAAAGCTCTCACGTTCGAGTCGGGCTTCTCGAGCTTCGTATTCAGCCCACGACTTTGGTTCTTCCTCGTCATCGCTGTAGCCTAAGACGCTCTTGACGTTGCCCTCCATGGAAATGATGATTCGTTTGCGCAAAGGGTCGACTGCCAGCTGCCTATGGCCGAAGAATGGGTCGATGTGATCGTCCCGGTTGAAGGCGCGCACTCGGGCTCGTCTGTTCCCATCTTCGGCATTGTTTGCACTCGTTTCGTTCTGCAGCACTTCGATACCAGATCTGATCTGCTCTTCCGAAAGCCGTTCGTTGGATTCCAGATTGCGGGAGAAGACATTGAGTTCGTCGCCATGACGATGCGCCGTATGGACCATACTGTCGAGCGGCGTGCGAGATTGATGGACAACCGAATGCCATTTGAAGAGTTGCTCAAGAGCCTGATGTCTTACAGGGGCTTCCTCGGGAGCAAGCTCAATCTCTCTCAGGCACGTAGAAAAACGAATTAGACCTTCCGTGGGGACCTTTGGTTGGGTGATGTTGAGCTTCTCGTTCCATGCCTTAATGCTGTCCAACGCGAAGGCAACGACCTCGCGCAAGTGCCTAACATCGTGGGATAATAGACATCGCTGGGACAGGATACCAGTTAGTGACAGGTTGGTTGAGTGTCGCTTTGTATGTGCTTTTTGTACTTCATCTCGTAATGCGCGAGCTTCTTCGAGTGCATTTTCTACTGTCGCCAACGAGTCTACCACCAGGATGTACTCCACAAGATGGGTCAGGTAGTCCGCGACGTGGTCCGGTCGAGTCTGATAGGTGCGTGGTATCAGCTGAAGCTTGGCCTTCGAGTACTCGACGGCAGCTGCCAGATCGGCAATGGCATTTGTCTTAGTGTACTTCTGGTTGTGCAATATCGCTAGTAGGCGGAGGATCTCTGGGGCCCGCTCATGTGTTTTCCCGACTGTCTGCAAACCGACCTGAAAGCCGACGATAGCGTGTTCAAGATGTTGTATGTCCTTTGTCTGTTCATATCTGTCGTGTAGGATGTAGGCCCTCACCAGCAGTGCCGCGGCATGCTGAGGCGAGCTCGGCGGGAAACGTTGAAGTTGTTCTTCGATCAGCGACAGGGCTTCTTCTGCATCGACCGAGCGATGATGCATCTTGTATCGAGCGTGTAGCCGAGCAGCCAGGTTATTCGTGCTGAGCTGATGTTCCACATTGGCGGGCGATGATAGTCTGAGGACTTCTCTGCCACAGGTGATGGCTTCATCGAGATCCGCGGAGTCATCCTTCAATTGCGCTCTGTGCGACACGCTGTACCCCAGATTTTCGTAGATTGTACGCAGCAAGGAAGTATTTGTTGGCAGAGCCTCATCTCTTGCTTGCTTCGAGTGGGCAATGGAATCATCAAGCACGTTCATGGATTTGGTCACGTCAAAGACGGTCATTTCCAGGTACGCCAGCTTGTCGAGGAACTTGGCTCGTCGTTGCGAAGGAGTCTTGAGCAGGCGAATGATGGCTTGATAATGCTGAGTGGCTTCCGTGAGGCGAGACGGGTCGCGGCTGGCATTGAAGAGCATTTCTGCTATCTGAGCCGACGCCTCACGAGCCTCGATCTCCTCATCGGGGCCGAGAGTGCCAGTGGCTATCAGTTGCCGAACCAGCGTTAGCGATTGCAGTGCCTGTGCTAGTGAGTCTGCCATTTCTGCTGTCACAAGTAGGACCTCGTGAGACGGATGGTCTCAGCTGCGTCAGTTGCTCGTGTGCGGACGAGAGAACGCACGAGAAGAGGCTGTAAGCTCTGACTTGTACCTACTGAAGACGTTGCTGTATTGACGGCTGGCATGTTATCCCCAGTCTGATGAAGAGGACTGAAAGAGGAGCGAGCGAGACATTCCCATGTTGGTTGGACCTGAAACATCCGCGCCGTTCGAGAGCTCCCAAGCCTGGTCGAGACCGCAAGTACAAGCGCTGAGGCTTCAGGCTGCAGGCTTGAGGCTTTGTGGTAACATTCGCGCGATTGGGCGTGTTCTGAGTAGAGCGTGGAAAGGCAGCAGCTGTATGCGGACAGGAGAAAAGGCGGCACCCAGGCGGTGGCGGCTGTATTCGCTTAACTAATTTAGGGGCCGAAAGACCTGCGAGGAGGTTCTAGGCACTACGCATTGGGCACGGGGCACCATCCACTAGGCAGGGAGGCTAGCCTAAGCACTCGCTGCACTGAAGCAGCCACTGAGCCACTCACACAGCACGCGGCAAGCTCCGCTCCGCTACGCTACGATCAATTTCTCCGCATTTCAATTCTCTGAAACTTTTTTGGAGGCGAGGAAACTATCACACTATTTTGTCGCTGTAGTTTTTCTGAAGGCTGGGTTCTTTCCTATCTCTACGGTTTGCACCGATCTCTTCATCGTTCGCTTCCAAAGCATGGACGCAGAAGACTTCCCCACCTCTCCGGCCAAGCGCCAGAGGACGGCCTCGCCAGAAGCGACCGAACCCGACGTCCACCATCCTGAGTCCTTACCCGCAGTCAATGGCGCACTTGAACCCCAACACAACCCTTCAGCGCAAGCGCAGGAGCAAGAGCTGGAGCCCGTGGGGACGGTGCAGTCGAGGGAAAACAAGCCTCAAGACGTAGCGTCGGAGGAGCCACCTTCGAATTCACTCCTAGACGTGTTGATGCAGCAGGTCGAGGCCGAGTCCAGTTCGAATCCTCCCGCGAGAGTCGAAGACTCGCTGTCTGTGAGCCATGTTGGCGCTTCAACAGGGGGCAAAGATGAAGGCTTGGCCAGCACTGATGGTCATGACCTGACAACTACTGCAAATGAAGAGATGGCAGCAAGTGTCGTGCATAACGCCGTGGAGCCGATGCAGCTGACGGACGGGTTTCTACCCGCTACAACTGAACAGGTCGTCCCAGGTACCAATCCCTCCGTATCGGCCGTGGGGGATGCGATGGATGCTCCTGTTTTCGTCGATCACAATTCTATGGACGCCATACCCCCAGAACCAACGGCCGTACCTGAAGAAGCCGGGGGCGCTGAGTGGGAAGTTGACTCCTCACCATATAACTCTTCCTCAGAATCCGATACTTCCTCCGACGACAGCTCCTCAGAAGAGGACAGCGACAATGACGCTGACGGTGACTATGCCATGCTAGATCCCGAGGAGGCCGCACGAATCCTCATGCAGGCTGACGGCGGATCCGACGATGAAGAGGGACCACGGAAGAAAGAAGGTGGTCCACTGCGGACGGCTAATGAGCGCATGGAAGAAGTCATCCCCAAGCCTGACATCGTCGTAACCGACGACATGAAGATTGAAGAGCTAGGCAGCGTGGAGTTTGTGGTCGAGAGTACAGTGGTTATCAAGGCCAAGACGTCAGGGGAGTATCGCGTCCTAGAGGCTGGCTCCTTGATATGTCTCAAAGATCGATCGGTCGTGGGTGTGGTTGCCGACTTGATCGGGCGAGTCGAGGAACCCAGATACACCATACGATTCACCAACGATGACGCTATCAAAGAAGCTGGCCTGTGGGAGTCTGGAACGACGGTGTATTATGTTCCTGACCACTCGACCTTTGTTTTTACTCTTCCTTTAAAGGCCATCAAGGGAAGCGACGCATCCAATTTCCATGACGAAGAAGTGGGTGACGACGAGATGGAGTTCTCGGATGACGAAGCCGAGGCCGAGCACAAACGCCAGATGAAAGCCAAAAGGCAGGGTCGGTCGTTGGAGACTACAGGCAGAGGAGGTCGCGGTGGCCCTAAATTTCTCAGGGGAGCACATCGTGGCGGTGGTGGGGGTAGAGGAGGACACTATACCGGCAACGGCTCTGGCAGTGCTGACGGCTCAGCCTACGGCAGTGGCTCCCTGGAGATGAACTACGATGATGTCTCGATGCCCAGCACCACCGAAGATGGCTATACGCCTCTGCAGCGGCCCGCTGACTTGACGGACATGATGGCCAGAGGAGAACAACGGCCAGAACGTGGCGGACCACATGCCTTGCCACCACCGCCACCACCGTCACATTTTAGGGGAAGCGGCGACTTTCGCGGGCGTGGCAGGGGATACGGCAGAGGAGGACGAGGCGCGTTTCGATCGAATCGTGGTCGCGGTGGCTTCAATCAGCCTCGCGACAATCATTTCAATCAAGATAATGCTTCAGCCCATCAACAGAACGGCTTTCCACAACAACACGGCTATTCTCACCAGAACCATTTCACAGCGCCACCCATCCCGAACATCAACGTTCCCACCACACCGTCCATAACACCGCAAAGCGTCACATACCCGCCGATGACCCCCTCGCCCATCACACCACTACCAAATGTATCATTCAACTTCGGCCGCGGGTTCCCAGCGGCTTCCACATTCCCCTCCTTCCCGCCTCCACCTCCGGGCATGCCGGGCTTCCCTCCTCCACCACCTTTCCAACACAACTTCAACTTCCAGCATCAGCAGCAGCAACATCAACAGCAGACACATCAATCCCAACATCAGCATCAACATCAGTCTCCACCTCAACCCTCCTATGGTGCAAACTCGACCGCAGGCGACGGACAAAATACCTACCTGTCTGGAGCTTGGGCTAACAACCCAACCGTTGCGGCGGCTCTGCAGAGGCAGATCGAAGAGCACAGGAGAAACCATGGGTGATGAGAGTGACGATTCCGCAGGAGCATGAAATAATTGTGTAAAAATAGGGTTGGATGGCGTCCCAAAAGTAACCGTGCTTATAAGAACGAGCTCAACAATCAGACGTGTCACTCAAGTGATCGAGCAACTGACAATACAACGATATCTCAGACCATCTAGCCATTTATCCCTTTTCACGCACCTGGCTAATTAGCTCTTCTTCATCTTCCATCTTCCACGACTTTTCCATCTACCTTATTTTTATTGCTACGTGTGCTCTATCATTTATCATCCTGCCTGCCTTCCCAACGATAAATCGATAGATCGAAGCGAAGTGACAGAAGACCGACTCTCACCGACTCTACGAGCCGTGTATGGTCGAGCGAGCGACCTACCTCGCGCATCTTAGGCACCAGGACCAAGAACAACCTCCTACACGAAAGAAGCGAACAACCACAACGTCAGCAAAGGCACGTTTGTCAGAAAAAAACACCAAAAAAAACCGAACACGATGATCCAAAGGAACGGTACGGGACGAAAGAAAAACAAAGAGGAACACCATTAACTCACCCGACTGATCGGCCCGCCCAGATCCCTGACACGAATCCCCGTCCACAACTCAAACTGCCACATGCCCTGCGTGACGAGCGTTTCCAGCCCCTGCACCGTCCGCCACCCGCCCAGCTGCTCGGCCATTTCCATCACGGCCGTCCTCGCGGGCTTGTACGCCAACTCGAGGAGCGTGCGCGCCGGAGGAGACGTGCCTTGTCCCTTGGGCGCCGAGCTCGTCGCGCTGCGTTTCGAGTGCGTGAACACGGCCTTTAGCGCCTCGCCCAGGACGGGATCGATAGGGATGTTGGCGGGGATGGTGGCGATGGCGACGACGGGCAGGCCGGGCCGCGCGTCCGCGGTCGTGTTGGTGGTAGTCATTTTGTCGACGACGGCGTCCCCTCCGAGCGCCGCGTCGAGGACGACGAGGTCGTAGACTGGCGGGAACGACCGCGCCAGCTCGATCATCTTGCCGTGGTTTCGTCCGAGGAGGTAGATCGGCTGGTATCCCATCGAGTGGAGCGTGTGGATGGCCGCTCTGGCGGTGCCGCCGCCGCCGATGACCAGGGCCGAGGGGTCGGCGTCGCCGAGGGCCGCGGACGCGCCGGCCCCGCGCAAGCAGTCCGCCATGCCGAGATAGTCAGTGTTGTAGCCTGTGAGCGTGTTGTTGCCGGTCGGCACGATGGTGTTGACCGCGCCGATGAGGCGGGCCGACGCGTCCACGGCGTCCAGCAGCGGCATGATGTCCAGCTTGAGCGGGATGGTGACGCTGGCGCCGCCAAAGTCCGCTCGCCGGATCGTCGCCTTGATGACCTCCAGGTCGGTGGTCTCGCAGAGTTGGTACACGTGCGGGAGTCCCGTGTGGTGGAACAGCGTGTTGTGCAGGGCCGGCGACTTGCTCGCTGAGATGGGCGAGCCGAAGAGGTAGAATTGCTTGGGTGAGATGGAGCCCACGAGCGTGAGACCTCTCCGGATCTCCTGCGCCGAGAGTTGTCCCGGGGCGGCTTTGAAGGGGAGGCTGGGATGAGACACCGGGGTCATGAACCCGTTGAGGATGCGCGAGATCTGGCCCGTCGTGCCCATGTTGATGGCGATGAGCGGGAGGTCAGGATGTTGGCCGTGGGACCACTGCTTGAACCGGCGGAGCGCGAAATTGTCGTCCAGCGATCCCGCGACGCCGATCAGCTTGACGATGTCGGCCCCGTGTTGTATGCATTTGTTGTAGATGGGGATCCAACTGCCGGGCCGTGACCACGACAACATCCCCTGCGGGTCGTGATGCGAGGCAATGACTTTGGATTGTGAATTATTCTTGAACGCCAGGAGTTTGGTCAGAATGTTCTCCGGGAGAGACGCGACCTCCACGTCGACGAATTCCGCGCCCATCCGCATGGCCAACGTGCAGAGATTCAAGTACTCGGCGTGTGCATCGTTCGGGAACTTGCCGCCCTGTGCGAGCGTGCGGATCGTGAAGACTACGGGCAAGGGCACTGTCGCGCGGAGCAGGGAGAGTTGACTCGTCACATAATCCGCCGAGGGGATGTCGTTGGGCGAATTTGGATCCTTGAGCAGGTCGACGCGCAGTTCCACCGCATCGCTGCCGAGACAGACTTCCGGCAGAATGCTCAGATGGGGTCGCAGGTCCGGGAATGTCAGCGCAACGAAGAAGCTCTCCGACTTCTGCTTCACCTTGGAGAGAACATCGGTCTTGCCCGTTACGAACTGCAAGAACCGGTCGAAGTCTTCGGCCGCCTCGGACATCTGCTCGTTGGGGATACTCTGGCTGTAGTAGAGTATGTTGCTGCACTGTTCGAACCATGGCTTGCGCCGCAGCCATACGCCCATCATGTCCTCCACGTAGGCCGGGCGGGTCTTGTCGATCTGCAGGAAATCCATCACTTCGGCGATATCCCGCTCCACGAGCAGAACGTGCCCTTTCTTTTGATGCCAATCGATCAGCAGTTGGCGGGCTTCAGCCGTCTCGACGATGCCGCCGCCACAGGCGAAGATGTAACCGTTCGACATATCCCTCATGACGGATTTGAGCAGGTTAAGCTCTACCTGCCTGAAATGATCCCAGCCATGCTCACGGATGATCTCGGGGATGGTCTTTCGCTCGCGGACTTCGAGCTCTGTATCTAAGTCGACTAATTTCTTGCCGAGTGAGCGAGCAGCCCATCGGCCGGAGGTTGTCTTCCCGGCGCCACGCATGCCGATGATGAAAATTGAGGCGGCGCTTCTATCTAGTTTCTTCGCGCTCGAGGTGGTGGCCGCTTCGAGTTCGACACCTTGCAGCTTCACGGCGAATTGGCGGGCCATGGTGTCCCACCAACCGGGCCATGTTTTTCCCGTGCATTCTTTTTCGAGAATAAGGGTAGGCTGGGGGGCTGCGAGAGCGAGAACGCTGAAACTCATGGCGACGCGGTGGTCGTCGTAGCAGTGGACGCCTCCGGGCGGTTGTTGTAGCTGCGAGCGATCGATACCGTCGATTTCGATACCATCGTCGAATTGCCGGCAAGTGACGCCGAATTTGGCCAGTTCGTCTTCCATCGCTTGGATGCGATTGCACTCTTTTACTCTCTGATTCGCGATGCCGTAGATGCGTGTGGTGTTTGACTTGCTTCCTTGTGCTACTGCTGCGAGGACTGAAGCTGTCAGGAAGGCGTCGGTCATGGGCTCCATGTCGATATTTGGTAGAGGTAGCAACTTGCCACTGCGTGGTCCTGTCACTGTGGTTGAGGAAGCTGTCTGCTTGACTTCGCACCTCATGGGTCGCAGGACATCTATGGCAAAGGCGGAATCACCTTGAAGAGACGCTGAGCCGATGTTTGGGATGGTGCACGTCGTGCCTGTCATCGCGGCAATGGCGAGAGGGTAGGTTGCGGAGCTGGCATCACTTTCCACGACATATTCTTCCGGATTTCTGTAGGTGCCTTGCGGGATGTGGTAGGTATGTTCCTCCGTCTTTGACTTCTGGACTTGCACGCCAAAAGAAGCCATCATTGCGATCGTCATGTCAATGTAGGGCTGTGATACAGGCTTGCCCCCTACCAGTTTGAGACTGACAGGTTTCTTCGCATAGGGCGCACACATTAGTAAAGACGAGACATATTGCGATGATACCTTCGCTGCGAGTTTGATTTCGCCGCCATTGAAGCCGGCTGAAGCTGCAATATTGAGTGGAAGGCTTCCGTTGCTCTCCATGTACTCGATCCCAGCACCATTACCCTTCAATGCATCGACAAGGTCACCAATGGGCCGTTGCTTCATTCGAGCATTGCCAGTCAGAACTGTTGATGCCACATGACTCTGTCGCGTCAGTGTCGCAACCGATGTCAAGAATCTCGCAGCCGTGCCAGCATTGCCTAGGTACAGTGGGTGCTCGGTGGCCTCGAGTCGACCACCGTTGCCGTTCACGACCAAGACCTCACCGTCCTCTTCCCAGGAGAAGGTCGCGGCTCCAAGCCGAGTCAGTGCTTCCAGCATGACTTCGGTATCCGCCGAGGTGAGCAGGTTCTTGATTCGGCAGGTGCCTTGGCCAAGAGCGGCGAGGACGAGAGCTCTATTTGAAATGCTCTTTGAGCCTGGAGGAACGCAGACGACGCTGAGATCTCGTGGCACGCCAGGGACCACCTCGACGCTAGGGGAAAGCACAACCCGCAAATCAGTGTCCGAGACAACACTGGCCTTCTGCTCGTAAGTCCGGCCAATCGCTGACAGGAGGACTACTTTCTTTTTTGCGCCATCGTTCTTCTTGTCGACGCCCATCTTCTTGAGCATGCCGTCGACCGTGCAGACCTTGCCACCGGAGAGCTTCCGGACCTTTTCGTCGTCAAGCCGTGTTGGCAAGCCATATACTGTGAGACACTTCTGCAGACGGCCGACTGCAACTCCGCTGAGGATTCCGAGGTAGCGTGAGAGTTCAGCTTCTTTGATCATGCCAATCGCAACACATTCGCCATGTAGCACTTGAGGCGTCAGGAAAGCTTCCATTGCATGCCCAATCGAGTGTCCGAAGTTCAGCAGGTTACGAAGGCCAGTTTCTCTCTCGTCGATGGTCACGACGTGGGCCTTGAAACTCGCAGATGCAGAAATAATTCGAATGAGGATGGTCTCGATGTCTTTGAAGCGAGAGGCACCTTTGCTGATGTCTGCATTCACAGCAGCCATAATACGTTCCGCGTTGCGCTCAAGTGCAATGAACTCCTCCTCGTCGGAAATCGCAGCGGTCTTGATAACTTCGGCCATGCCATTGATCAGCTCTCGTCGAGGCAGAGTTCCGAGAAATTCGAGATCGATGTAGATTCGCTGTGGTTGCCAGATAGCCCCCACGAGGTTCTTGCCTAGAGGTGTGTCGATAGCTGTCTTGCCACCAATAGACGAATCGACCATGGCGAGCAACGTTGTTGGAACCTGTACATATCGGACGCCCCGCATATAAGTCGCCGCAACAAAGCCCGTCAAATCGCCGACAACGCCGCCTCCCAGAGCAATGATAACTGTATCTCGACCGCATGGTGGGCTCTGGCTGAGTAACCAATCCTCGATATCGTCTTTCGTTTGTCGAGATTTTGAACTCTCACCAGGCGGGATCTGATGCACCAGCAACCGTGACGGGCTCGATTTCTGCTGTGATGCTGCCTCGAATGCTTCCTGGAAAGATCTGACATACAACGATCCCAGAGTGGTGTCGGTGATCAAAACATAAGTGGATGACTCAAGGCTCGTGAGTAAATCCGAGGCCACATAATTGCGCCATAGTCCAAAGTTGATGATTATGCTCTCTTTACCGAGGAGGCTTACTCGCACCTCCTTCGCCGTCCCATTGACAAGTGACATGTTCGCGCATGAAGAAGACGCAGACTTGAGTAGACTGCCTCAGAAGCAAACACTGAACAGAAGCGGCATCGGAGCTTGAGATTATTTTCATGTCTTGGCGCCGCCCGTTAAAGCACTAGCGCTAACACTAGTACAGCCTCGCATTAGCGCCTCAAGCCTCGAGTCGAGGCTGAAATGCGGAGTATCTGCGGTGTGTGCGTGTGCAAGTAGGAATTAATTAAGAAACCCCTTCCGTCAATCAACCAAGGGTATTCATTGGCCGAGGCGCGAATGGACCAATATCCGCTCATCCATCCTCATGGGACCCACTGCGACAGGAGTAGATGTGATCGAGCTCACCTGGGTTCGAACGACTGGTTGTTGACGAGAAGCCTGCCCGGTCCTCCATTTTGGGCCGTGAAATGCTCAACATCTGGTGACGCAGTCGGCGACAGCACAGCTTCATGCACATCCTCGGCTGTCCAAGGGCCTGGTCATGTCGAAGCACCATGAGTTCGCCAACGCTGATACGTTGGGTCAAAGAAGGAAGCGAGAAAATCGTGAGCGTCTGACTTCTGGGTGCGCAACTTGGGTCCTTGATAGAGGCCGCAAGCTCGGAAAACCCGTGGTGGAAAATAGCATGCCAGTGGATGTCCCTACGCTGACCAAGGATACCACGCAAAGATGGAATCGATTCTTATGGCCCTGGAGTCCGTCCGTCGCTCTGGAAAATCGAACACAAAACACACGGACGGAAGATCTACACGCTATAAAACACGTTCTGAATGTTCCGTCCTGGCATTATTTCCCAAATTAAGTTCCTACAGAACACCTTATCTTGCGGTAGCGCTGTCATTTCCTGCCTGAAGATCGTAGCCAATTCCTGGACCGCTCAACTCAATTCATATCCAGGGCCGGTCGATGTCACATGTCGTTGCACGTCAGGATCCGTCGTCGGACCTCAGGGTTGTTCATCCGTCGCCTCCATGGTGGTGGGCGACTGCGTCATGGTGGTCGAAGGATCAATCTGCACAGAGCCCGTCGTGCTGGGCTGTGTGTTGACCCGAGGAAGTGAGGCCTCGGGGGAAGACACTGTGGCATTGTTGTGAGTGGCAAGTTGTGCAACAGCCGCGTCGCTGCTGGCGGGAAACGCAGAACTGGTTGTTGTGACTGAGCCGGTATGGCGAGGCTGGGGCGGAGGATGATGCAGAGGGGAAGACGGGTTGGGAGCTTGAGCTGGAAGCTGAGGCTGAGGCGCGCTCGTCGCTCCGTCCGAAACGCCTAGAATCACCTCCGTTGCGAGCCTATTCGGTTTGTTGAAGGGCTTCGTGTAGTCGTCCTGGGAACTTCGAGGGCCTACTGTCCGGGATTCGACATACTGCGGACCCATGGCGTCGCGACCCTCTTTGAGTGCGTGTTTCTTCTTCTTGTACGTTTCCCACCATGAATTGTTGCCACTGCGAATATGGGGGAAGAGGTCCCACTTGTCCATGCTCTCTTCCTCGTCCCGCGTAAGCGCCAGCCAGGCGTAGAGATCTTGTCGCTTCTTGGACCGGTCCTCTCCTGGTGGCGAGCCACCACTGACCCATTTCTTGGCGTTTCCGTTGACCTCCTCGTGGAATTCATACGCCTCTGGCCACTCGTACACCTCCGCTTTCAGGCGGGAGCCGATCCAGCATTCGCGAATGTTGCGGAACTTCTTCGCATCCGCCTTTTCTGCGGCGCTTTGGTTTCCGTTGTGCTTGCTGGCTTTACCATGCCTATGTAGTATGGCACTCTTCCAGCCGGTAAAGGTGTTTATCCATTCCGAGTCGTCGCATCCAGTCTTCTTGATAAGCAACAACGTCGGCAGAACGATCAGCAACACCGTGTATATTTGGGTGGCCAAGTCCGCCATGCCAATAGCGACAATGTGCACAGCAAAGGCAAGCCATCCGATCGATCTCATCACGAAATAGGTCCTGGGGTTCAGGATGATCGGTCCCTCGATGAACAGTGATGGCGGTATGACCAGCTCATTCGGCATCTCAAAGGTAACGGCTTTCGAGTCAGATTGTATGATAAGGACTTTGATCGGCTTGCCCTCCCAGACCATTCCGAATTGGCCCTTCGGGTTCGGTTTCTGGTGCGCCGCCACAGCCTGGACCTGGTGGACTGCTTGCTTGTGCCCATTCGTAGGACTGGACGAGTCACTATGACTGGACCGATTTCCGCCATTTGGCGTCGGGGGATCTGGTTTTCGAAGTCTCAGACCGCCGTTCTTTCGGCCTATGTGTTCGTGCTTCCAGGCTTTGTATTCGTAACGACGGGCCTCGTAGGAATCACCCGTTGGGGGCCCGAAATTTGCGACGGCCTTGTCGATCATGGCATCCATGGCGAGGCGCTGCTGGCCAATGACATAGACACGAACAATGATGGAGACGATCATGGCCAGGGCGTTGGCGAAGCCATACCAGTCCGCCGACAGAATGGTCAACGCAACGAGGAAGCCGTTCAAAACAAAGCCAATCAGAACCGAAACGATTATGTCGTTCTTTCGCGATCTCGGCGGCGTGACCGTCCACACTACATAGTTACGGGTGGCCTCGAAATTCTGCGAGAGCATCCACCGGGTCAGCCAGGCAGCAAGGTCGGTTGTGTGAATGCCTTGAGAGATGTTGTAGAGGTTCCATCCCGCCGATTTCTCAGTAAATCGATCGCCAGCGATGACATATGCGCCGAGCAAGGGCAGATACTCTAGGTAGGCGCTGGCAACTAGTCGTCCAACAGCCGCATTGATCTCTTCAGCTCCCAGCAAGGTAACGAGACCAAGAGCGTCGATGTTGAACGGGGACCAATGGCGCAGAACATGCCACGGCGCCCACAGCGGACCTTCTGGAGCGGCAGTGTCGGCGGAAGACGCCATGCCAACGGTTCGATAAGCTTCTGACGGGCGGGGGAAGGATTTGCGTGGGTACGGACCGCCGCCCTGACAGCCGGAGGACCACTGCCGGTGTTCAACTCAGTAGACGCGTCGAGGTTTCCACCCAAGAAGACTATCCATGCTTGCAACAGATGAGGCATGTGTGAATGCAAAGGAGAGGAGAGAACAGAGACATGGCCTCTGGCGGCTGAAGATCTGCTCCCTTTCCCTGCCTGCGGGACAACCCGTTCTTTACCTCGTATGTTAGGCGACTCGAACCTCGAGTGTCTGGGCGATCGGCGGCTGGACGTCCCTGCCACGTCGCCTGAGTGGACGCCAGAGTCGAAGTCTTAACCCATAATGGCATCGCCTGTCTCAGCCTCATCGCGGGAACAGGGGGGGCAACATCGGGGGCGGCAACGACTGATCGCATGACTTGGGACATTCACCCCGAGAGAGAATGTCCAACGCTAGCTGGTAGAAGACCCGGTTCTTAGTCAAAAAGTGCGGACTCAAGGAGGGAGATGTGCTGAGAAAACAGCAACACTACTGAGCTCGGAACACTTCGCGTTCATTGTCGCAAGCGTCGTGTCACCATAAGTCAACCAAAGAACAACAAACTGAACGTGATGAATAGGTCTAAACAATCCGAGCAGGTTGAGAGGGCGCTTCGGGGCGATCCTGGGCGCACTACTTGTCTTCTTCCGCAACTCTTCACTCACCAATTCGTTCTTGAGAGGTGTTTCAGTGTGACACGACGCGTCAATGGCCATTGTTGAAAGAAGATTCATTTCGAACAGCCTCGACCTAAAACTTGAGGTCTCTGGCATCGGTACCAGTTATCCCTATGTATATTCGTATTCGGTGTGCATCTCCCCAAAGACTTGAAAACTGACGATGTGAGACAGCCTATAATGAGAACCCTATTGTAAGGTCTTGATCAGGAGACTTCCTGATGAGCATATAAAGATGGACACTGTGGCTACACCACTTGCCCTCGCAGTTCGGGTCTGGTGTTCCAGAACCTATGCTGTGCCGACATAAGATAGTGCAGACCAAGAGAACATTGTTGTCCGTGTCTCGCTCAATACGAGGTAGGTGCGAGCTGACCCCTTCGACCATTGTGTCCTGGTAAACTGCCCCGAGAAAACAACAGAGATCGTCGGCTCTTTGCGCAGCTGAAGCAACATCTCTGGCAGATTCTCTCCGACCGTCAATCCCCTTTGACTGGACCTGGATCCTTCAGCGAGATGCCATGGGCAGCGAAATCACCACGCAGTCGAGCTGCTGCCTCGTTCAATGTCTCGGGGGCGCGTCAAGGATGAACCGACCAAGGAGGATACTGGGGTCGTCGAGCATGATAGTCTCCTTTCGATCCCAGCAATGCTTCCGCGTCTCTCATCAACACAAACACAGACGGCACAGTACACAGGAATCGAAAGCTTTCCTCTTCGATCTACCGAACCAACTCGACTAGGAATTCGCTTGCAGGACCGGCCTTCTGTCGCACAAGATGATTCACCGCCAACCCGATCAGACTGACTCCTCTCCTCCGCTGCGTATTGTCCAATCTCGTCATTGCCCCGGTTGTGGTTGGGATTTCGCCAGACACACCCTGGAACGACCCAAGGTTTGCACTCGCGCGCAATGCAACGCTGCAGATCCTCGTAATCACGCTAGGAATCCCAAGAAAGCTCGTCGTCATTATCGCTAGGTTTCTGGTGCCCGGCCCGTTTGACGCTCACTCTGTCCGCAAGCCTCCTTTGGCCAAGCTGCGCTACACACACTTATCCAAGTCTGCGAGTCTTGCGGTGCGATCCCGAAAGTCATTACCAGAACCGCATCGGCCCAGAGTGGAAGTTGAGCGAAGAGCTGATTGTACAATCTGAACACGCTGCGGAAGAGCATAGTATGTCACATGGAAATAGAGTGGCAGCATGCCATTGGCATGTCTGGAAATAATATACTGGGGGAAAGACAAACATTTCATAATCGAGGTGCAATATTGTAAGAGTACTGGATTCGAGGCTATACTCCGGAGATAGTGGACGAGTACTTAGGATCGCGAAACCGCATTAGAAAAAAAATTTGGACTGGAATGGGCAATGCGTGTTCGTTCGGATTCTTGTCTTATTGAGCCTTCCTATCTGCGAGCTGCACCCTGTGAGCTTCAAAGCCCACAGGAGCTCGTGTGCTTGAGCACAAGCCACACAAGCTGCTACATGCAGGCTGGGCAACTGTCAAGTACATCCCTTCATCCCCCACACAGGGCTTTCCCTTTACGCGAAGCAGAACGAGTGATCTCCAGGTAAAGGATCTTTCCCTCATGAGTGCGGGAGACTTTTGGCCTTGTATGCAGTGCTGTGGTGTCGAGTGCGTGGTGGGAGGGTGTAAGTCTGTCGTATTTTGACGTGAACGTCTCTTCTGGAACATGGGTGATCTGTGAATGTCGAACTGTATGTGTTGCAAAGCTGGCGGAGCGGTTGTTTGATCGGCAAGTGTGGAGGCTTGAGACGGTAGGATTCAGGTCACGCATTTCGAAACCCGTCCCTGAATCATATCGCACGACCAGCACCCTACCAGCCAGCTGCAGCGCCGGCACCGGTAGCCTCTTGAGCCCAGTCACCACCACCGGTGCCCGGATCGTTCCAGGTGGCGTCAGCCTGCGGCGCACCCTCAATACCCGGCGCAGTACCAGGCTCGCCCGTCCAGTCTGCGTTGTCGGTGAATCCACGGTCAACGGCAGCGGGACCAGCCTCCTCCACTCCGGGCACTTTCTCCTCATCCTTCTGTTCCTCGGCCTCAGGATCGCGGTAGAAGTACAGATCCACAACGACATCCCACTCAACCTCACGGTTGGGGAGCGTACCTCGCAGACGCAGCACCTCGCGAGCCAACAACCACCAGATCAGACCGATGGCGTGTCTGCCCTTGTTGTTCGTGGGGATCGCGACGTCGACGAACTCCGTAGGCGAGTCGGTGTCGCAGAGGGCAATGACGGGGATGTTCACGTAAGAGGCTTCCTTGATGGCTTGGGCGTCGGTGCGCGGGTCGGTGACGATGATCAGGCGCGGCTCCTTGAACGAGCGTGTGATGTAGTTGGTAAAGTTACCGGGAGTGAAGCGACCGGCGATGGCGACGGCCCCGGTGTGGGCGGCAAATTTCAGCACCGCGCGCTGACCGTAGGGACGGGCGGAGATGACGCAAATGTCGGCCGGGTTGTCGATGGCGGCGATGATGCGCGCCGCAAAGACGATTTTCTCCCTGCGCGAAGGACGGGTGGTCAGTTGGGGTTTCAGAAGAGCGCAATATCGCTAGCACTGCAGTTCCAGACAGGTACAGCGCTGAGGGTCTCTCATTACCAGGTCTTTGAGATGTTGATGACATTGATACCGTCAGGACGAGTCTTCCACAGGTACGGCTCCATGTGAACCTGCAGGTTCTTGGATCCCAAGTGACATTGAGCCGCAAGCAGCATCTCAATGTCCTGAGATGTAGGATTGAAGATGGAGGGAAGGTTTGCTGGGCTCGCCATGTTTGCGACTGAGTTCTTGGATCAGCCGAAAGGCGAGTTGTAGAGAGCGAGAGGTGGTGAGGTTGGAGAAGTCGAAGCTGATCGGATCGCAAAGAGTCGAAATCTGTGTGTGGGATCTCGAAATCTTGGCGCGAAACAGCGCTAGTCTCCCATTGGTCAAAACGTGTTCGGAGATACTTTTCTGCGGCAGAAGTTCAAGTGCTTGCTATCGAGACTTGGGACACGAGACTGCATTGAATTTCCATCGACAGAACATCGTCAAGCATGCCGCCGCGGATATCCACCGCTGTGTCAAGCAGCATCTTCAACTGTTGGTTGCCTATCAACTTCTTGTAATCCGCTACTGACAATCAACTAGTGACCAGTCTCCTCCAGAGCTTGCCCTCCGCGACACGGAGTCAAGCACTGACAAAGTGCTCAACATGCCTCTTCTCAACCACAGCTCCACTCGAAGCAAAGCGCGCGAAGAAGCGAAAAGTCAGGAAACACCTTGACCCTTACCGCCTGGCTCAAGCACGGCAGCGCAAATCAGCAAACTTAGCACGGCAAAGGATTCTACAGGCCGAGCGCAAGCTGGAGGAGGGCGACCCTGTCAAGTCACGACCCACTCCATTCATCAACTCGCTACAGCCGAATGCCCCGATCGCAACGATTCGAGAGTCCTACCTCAACTATTTCCTCAAGCCAGAAGACGTGCAGAAGACGCTTGAGCACTCCAGGTGGCTCACGGAGCCGCTGCCAGAATCTCACCGGCTCGTTGGAGCGGAAGAAAGACTCGCCCAAAGAATACAAGAACACGCAGCTTCCCACGAGAATGCTTCCAGAGCTTTGATGGCCATCGCCTCGCTGGAAAACGCAAGCAGCAAGAATCGGACTCAGATCAACATCCAGAGGTGCATTGAGGAGTTCGGCCGGCACAACACCGACGGGGTGTTAGCACCGCGGCTCCAAAGCAAGGAGGCCGTAAAAAATGGGAATGCAGGTGCGGAGGCCACTGCCACTGCTAAGAGGATTGGAGCAGATACTGGGTCCTCGGAAGTCCAGATTGCGATTTTGACGGCGAAGATCAATATCCTGGCGAACAACCTGAAGGCGAACAAGGACAAGAGCAACAAACGTCGACTGAGAATGATGGTCCACAAGAGACAGAAGTTGATGGCGTATCTTAGGAGGCAGGACAGAGGGGGCCCAAGATGGCAGAATGTTGTTGAGAAGCTGGGTCTCAACGACGCCATGTGGAAAGGGGAGATCAGCTTGTAAAATATCGTGTCCGACCCGAAGATTGTACAATCAAGCCGCAAAACATGTCCATGTATCGGTGGGCACATTTTTTTCCGATTTGGTCTTCAGCTCACGCCTCGCCCTCCGTCAACATCAAATGCCGCCCCAGTGATAAATTCTGCCTGGTCTGACGCAAGGAAGCACACCATGTTCGCAACATCAGCTGGCTGGCATACCCGACCAAGGGGGATCGTCCCCAGCAACTTCTGACGACCCTCGGGTGTATCCTGTCCGCCGAGGACTCTTCCAAGCCTGTGTGAATTCAGCTTCTCGTCTTCTGAAGGGCATGAAATGAAACCTTCAGAGTACTCACATTGCCGTTTCCCCAACGGCCGGTCGAATACAATTATACCTGATTCCATCGGCCGCATATTCCGCCGCGAGACCCTTTGTTGCCTGGAACAGCATTATCAGCATTCAGCATCAGCAAAGGGGACCGCGTGCTCGCCCCATGTCCCCAAGAGCTGGAACCCACCACTGTCACGGCGCCTTTACTACTCGCATACCACACCAGATTGGGCCGCGGGCGCGGCTCGCTGATACTGCTTAGATTGATGAACAAGCCCTTCTTTTCATGTTCCTTCCACCACGGCACAATGACCCTGGTGCTCAGATACAGCGGCTTCACGTTGACCCGGAAGACCCTGTCGAATTCGTCCTCGGCCATCTCGTGGCTCGGCCCGGCAAGATGCACCACGCCCGCACAATTGACCACCACGTCTAGGCGGTCGTTACCTAGGGAAAGGGCTTCGGAAAGGATGCTCTGCAAGGCCGACAGCTGGGTCACATCGGCTTTCAGGGTGCCGACGGCGCCCGGGTTCAGGGAGCAGAGCGAGCGGGTCTCCTCGTTTGCCTCTTCGTTGATATCCACCGCGAGGACTGTGGCGGACTCGGCCGTGAGTCTCTGGACGATCTGAAAGGGATGGAGCTTGTGTTAGATCTGCGTTTGTCTGGACGCGTCGTCGCCACTTTGCGGGAGCGGTGTTCGATGTATATATGTACTGCGTGTGATATATGCTCATATATGTTGATTGCGCTCAAGGTTGGGAGTAATTACGTCTTTTCTTCTCACACTTGCCTCCCACTGGGGTTCTATCTTTCTTCCTCGCCGAGGAGCAACCAAGGGCGTGACAACTCCAGAACTCGTACTACAGAAGAGCTGTCGTGGAAAGTTACTTACACCTCTCCCGAACCCGGCTCCCGCACCAGTCACGACGACCACTTTCTCCGAAAGGCAGCCCATGATGGTTATTCACAGTTGAGGTTCCGACCGGACGAAGACGATCAAGAAGTTATGTAGAAACTAACTGAATGGACTGTGCTAGCCGTAGCCGTGATCGTGAAACGTGACAGTGGGAGTTGTAGGGCAAACGCAAGGGCAAACGCAGAGGCGGTCGACCTTGGACAAAAGCAGAACCGGAGTAAAGAGCAAGGTACAAGTCTCCCGCTCGGGCTACACGTAAGGTATGTAGAGGCAGGCTCTCATCCTATGGTATATCTCGTCACTATCTATCTATCTACCTACCACTGTCTATCTACTGTGAGTTACTCCGCTCTTGAACTGCGGTCCCCTTTGTCCGTAGCATTTTGTGGAGAAAATGACCGAGGAGCAAGACGGGAGCGCGAGCGGGGAGGAGACACGGAGGACCGAGTGCATACACGAGGAGATACACGAGGAGACGAGACGAGGTACGTTCTCGCCTGCATGGGTACGGAGCATAGGTACGTCTTCTAGGCACATGCCCACATGCTCACGTGCTCACATCCGGTACCTACACAAGTACACACAGTGGTTTCCGTGCGTTGACCTCAACTCCCGCCAGCGCATGCTCTCGCAGCAGGAGGTCCGCACGTCCCTGGGGTCTTTGGACGGGCCAGGGATATATACAGTTACCTTAGTCCAGTACTCCGTACATGTACCGGCTTACTGTCGTGTGCTTAAGGTATCAAATATGAATATCGCATGAGGGCTAAGGAGAGGTGGAAACCTAGACCCTGGAGGGTGGACAACATCATCCTTGAGTGCGTGAAAGTCTACCAGTCTACTTCAACCTTAGCTCGTCCCTTTCGTCCCTGTAGCTGCCTCTAATTCCCATCGCCAGCATCTCATCCATCCGTGATGGGCTCCATACGGGAAACATGCACGTACCTCATGGCCAATGCCCCGATTACATCTCTCCACATTCCACGATCCTGACGTCCAGGACGGGCCTCTCGCCGGCTCCCCGCCCGCCTGGACCTGCGGTCCTCGTGTTCTCGATCATCCTGACCACGCGGATACTTTCGCCGCCGTCATCTTCTTCGCCCAAGACCTGTCCGAAGACGACGTGTTTGTTGTCCAGCCAGGGAGTCGCCGCGCAGGTGATGAAGAATTGGCAGCCGTTGGTATTGGGGCCGGAATTGGCCATGGAGAGAAGGTAGGGGCTGGAGGGAAGTGACGTTAGCATACATAGACGGACGAGGCAGAATCGTAGCTCGCAAAGGGAGACCTTGAGACTGGACTTGATCAGCACTCACCGAGTGTGTTTGATGGCAAAGGATTCATCCGCAAAAGCTGCGTTGTTGTAGATGGACGTTGAGCCGGTGCCGTCACTATGCAGGAAATCGCCTCCCTGGATCATGAAGTTTTTGATCTGCCAAGCGGGAAGAGTTAGCCATTGACATCTGGGATTGTGATAGAAGGAGGAGGAGAAGAAGACAACAGATGGTGAAGAAGTGATTTTGTGTCGCGCGCGTTGCTCCTGAAGGTGATGCCCTGCGTGGTAGCTCCAGAGACCACTTTTGAGATTCATCGTTGAGGACCTAGACCGCTGCTGCAATCACTCATGGTTTTTGGACGGTCTCCTGCGTCTGCCTGACTTACCACACGGTGGAACTTACTCCCCTTGTATCCCATCGGTTTGCCGGCGGGTCCTTTGTGCTCACCGGTGCAGAATTGGCGGAAATTCTCTGCCGTCCTGGGCACGGCGTTGGCGAAGAGGTGCATCTTTATTCGACCGAGGGTTTCGCCTGAGGGACCGGGTTAATAAGTGCTGAAAGATCCCTCGAGCCCAAGAATGGCTTGGACGAGCATGAGATCAGAGTGAGGCTGGCTTGAATGTGCGCAGGAGGGAGCAGGCGTTTTTGATGCCTGAATCGCTGAGTAGACGGGAGTAGACAATGTTGATATATCTGACCTGTGTGTTCGGCCACCAAGGGCGGGCCCTTTCTTTCATGATAGACTCGTGCAGGGGTGTTCGGGACTTACCGCCAAGCTGGACATCAAAGAATACGATCGGTTCGCCCTCTCCTGGCCTGGGCACCGGGATCTTGCTAGTCGCCATCGTAACAGTTTCGTTGTGGGTAGGGTGACGGAGAAGCGGTTGAGGAGTGTTTGTTCGATATTGGTGGTTGATCAAGAATCAAGAGAAGAGGTGGAGACGGCGAGGCTGCGGTGGCAAGGATTCATCCCTGGCAGGGGTGAACAACAACGCCTCGGGGCTTGGACTCTTCTAAGACTGCTACGTGAAGTGGTATTGTTCCGTGTTCATATATCTACAGTCATTCTTTGGCACTCCCATCGCCACGAAGCAAAGTGTGGCCGGCTCACCAGAATTACTATCCGCAAGGAAACACCAACAAGAATCCTCAGCGCTAACGCTCATCCAAAAGAAATCGCCGACAACATGGTTCAGTAAGCCGCAATGTCACACCTTTTATCTTCCCTCTTCCAAAACTTGAACCCCTTCTTCTTTCTCGGCTCTGTCGGCTCGAGTGGTGGTGGTATGGTGTACGGCACTGGTCTCAATTGGACCTCTTCGTTCGAGTGAAATCTGGCCTCAGGAATCTCACCTATCTTTGTGCTGGCGGTCATAAATGTCATGGTCGATGTAGGTCGGATTCGACTTTGTGTTGGCAGGGGACGACTATCAATAGGGACTTTCGGTGGTCGAGGCGGAGGTCCTTGGGGGGTAATACTCTCGATACTCGGTTGCATACTTTCGAAGAAATCGGCGGGCATGATGAGCATGCTAGGCTCTCTTCGGGGCCGAGGATACTCGGTTAAATCGCGCCTTGTTGAGGTCTTATTGCCATCAACACGGCCTTTGGCGCTTTGCGACACCGGATTCGAAGTCCTCCGGTCTGCATCATCGTTCTTCGTCTTTTGCCGATCCGGGCTCGGAGGAGACGACTTCACCACCACAGAGTCAGATTTCGACCGCCGATGCTTGGCTCCATGCTCTGTCCGAGCCTTCCTGGCACTGGCTCCAGACACCACGGACGACCCGCTCTTGGATCTGACCCAGCCGCCTCGGACCAACAGTGGTGTTGGAGGCGGCCGCTTCGTCTGTTTGGACGTTGCCGATGAACCAGAATGGCGTTCCTTGCGACCGTGCTTCTCATTGGCCTTTCGGAAGTCTTTGTCCTCGAGAGCTAGCCTTGATGGTGAGGCAAGGCTGAGGCGTGAGCTTAGCTGTGCAAGGGCGGCCATGGTGTCGCCAGCTGCAGTCTCGGACAGGCTGTACAAGGCTCGCTGAGACGTTGAGATTGTTTTGGAGTCCCCGGACAAAGCGTGGTTGATCAAGTTGATCAGTCCGGTGTTCAGGACCAGGAGAGTATGAGCCAGGCTGGACTGTGCCGGGCCATCCCCAAGCTCAAATCGACGGCCGAACTTGGCCACTTGCTGGTCGTACTCGTGTTTGATCTCGACAGGTTGTTTCTTCAAGGAGTGTCGCAACCATTCTTCCTCTTCTTCTGGTCGAGGCTGTCTTGCATTACTTTTCCGCTTTTTCCCACTCAGCCGCTGAAATATATCTACGCCACTACCGAACGCGGAGATGATTGAAGTTATCACCGAGGCGACGTCTATCCCACCCATTGTGATGACCGTAGAGGGTCTGCAAGTCACAGGAGAAGCCTGATTGTCACATAGTCTCAAAAATGAAGAGTGAGGGTCTTTTCTCTTTAACAGGTGTGTTTGAATGGCTCTGTGACCGCCGAACAAGCTGGTCAAGGCAGAAGATGAGGGAGCGAGCGTGGTGCGGAAGCGTTCAGGTTGAGAAAGGCAACCTCAGATCAACGCCCCGGATGTGGTAGCTATAAACTCACCTCCTCGTCTCTCACCTCGTGGGACCCTGCATGTGCTTGTCCAAAGCTTCGAATGGCAGTTGCAGGAGTCCTCCGTCCAGTAATGCGTTCCTGCATGCATCTTGGGACGGCTGAGGGGAGGAGCCGTTGGCTTCCAGGAAAAAGACGGGAATCGCAGCGATGCTGATACCTGAGTGGCAGGAGATACGGGGCGCTGCAGCAAGGATGACTGGGGCGCATGTTCCAGGCGCTTGCAGACTTGAGCATGGTCGAATCGACGCACGAGGGCGCAAAGAGAGAAACATGCATGCAGAGGCGGCGGTGGTACGCGTCTCTTGATAGGGTCTGGGGAAACAAAATGAATCATCAATCAGTGAAGGCGGAATCTGGTGAGACGAAGGGCGACGAAATACGGCGACAGGCAGAAAAGGTGCCCGCTCACACAGTACAAAGACGGAGTACTGGCTACAGTAGCTACGCCCGGGGTGCCCGGCTTCTACACAATAGGCAACGCCTAGCGCTCCTTCTGGTTAAAGGTCATCCCCGCAAACTTGCAAACTGCGCCGCCGTCATCGACACCGGTCGTAAAAGATTGTTGTTGCATCGGCCAACGTCGATACATTCGTGACTGTGGCCCTTTCTCAGCAGATTGTTGTGGGCACGTCTCACCCTGACCGAGAGCACCTTTGTGCCCAAGACTTGTTGGTCGCGATGCCCGCTGTCGGCCCTCAACTCCCGCCGGACCTGCAAAAGCGCAGGAGAGACGACGACCACGACGATGAAGGGCACTCCTCGGACTCTTCCACTGGACCTTCACCACCTCCTCGAGATGAGGAACAAACAGCGGCTTCAACCACGAAACGTGCCAGAGTTATAGGCCCGGCTCCTCCACCAGCGCCGTTAGACGAACGTCCAGTCTCAGGTGGCACACGCCTCGCAAGTGAAGCGGAGTCTGAGAGCGAGGATGATGACTTCGGCCCAAGCCTTCCCTCTGCCACCGAAACTGTCGCACAATCCTCGAACCAGTTTTCAATAGGACCTCAGATGCCGGTGACTACAGCGTCTGCAGCACCAGCGAAGCGGGACGAGTGGATGACTATTGCACCTTCAAACGGCGACTGGTCTTCGCGAGTGGACCCGACAAAACTGAAAAATCGTAAATTCAATACTGGAAGAGGTGCGAAAGCTCCTTCCCGGGCTTCGGACAGCGGCGCAGATTCTTCATGGCACGAAACGCCTGAGCAGAAGCAGGCGAGGTTGAAGAGAGAGGTTATGGGTATACAAGACACTGCTACATCGGCAGCATCCTCCAAATCGGCTTCGGGAAACAACTCACACGACGACACCACTGCGAAGAGAATGAAGGAATATACGGTAGGTCTTTTCTCTTGCTTGCTCCCGAGCCTCCCCGGTTCACTCTTTCGAGAATGTTTCGACTCCTACAAGGTCCCAATCACCAGCCCTTATTTTCCTCGCAACGGTTTTTCATGCTGACACCCGCGTCAGGAGGCCCAACGCGGACCATCACTCTACGCGAGCCATACCTCTTCTCAGGACAAGCCCCTAGATGATGACCCCAGTGCCCGCGCCTTCGATCGGGAGAAGGACATCGGCTCGGGATCGACAATCAGCGCTACCAAGCGCAGAGAAATGGTCAAGAAGGCCACCGATTTCTCATCGAGGTTCGAAAAGGCGAGATATTTGTGACATAATCTGTTTGTGGTCCGATCTCGGTCGTTCACCAGGCCCTATGATGTCAGTCTTTATGACTCCTCTTCACGCTTAGGCTTGCCGTTGGGTCTCGATACGTCCGATGTCCTGCTCATGTGCGACGAAGATCCCTGGTGCCGATGAATTGGCAAATTCTCGTACTGAGCAACAGGAAAGGCAAAAGGGCACGGGAATTTCGCGCCCTCATTTGCTGTTTGATGACCTCGCCTCCACCATCGGCGAAGGGTGTGGCCATGAAGACGAGCTTCTACACCGTGACAATCAAGAGGAAAAGGCGCAAGTAACATACTCCCGGAGTCGCGGATGGCGGTGTACCAGCATGGTGTGCACGGGGTTGACGTGGCCGCTGCTGCTCCGGTACTCGGGACTGATGGTATCAGGCTCTACCTACTCCAGACTGAGTGGCAGCAAGTTCCCGCCGCTCCAACGGTCCACCTCCAGCCCAGTCTGGAAGCCATCAAGATGCAGTCCATTCGGCAATTTCTCAGCCAGTTAACTTATTACAGCAATAACCCTTTCGGACACCGCGCGCTATCCACAGCATGAACACCCCTTTTCCAAACCACCAAAACCGCGAGGATCGATGGAAATCACCTCCGCCAAAAACCGCGACTCTCAATCAACTTGGGACTGTCCTTCACACAAAACAAGCATTCCAAGCTCCTTATGACGACCTGTTACGTCCCTGCACTATCGGCGGGATCCCTGCCCAATGATCAACCGGGCAGATTCCGGCTTGACGACACGGGTTCCCCAAGCATGCTCCGTACGAGGCACCCTGCCACTGGAAAATACCTCGCCTTTTCACAGTATCCAGTACGTTCCACCCCAACGGCGAAGCCCCGCTTGGGCCAAGTCTCGCCGACCGAGGCTGTCAAACCTGTGCAGCTTGCTCCTAAATTGCCCACTTTAGGGCTGACTGTCATAACCACCTGCCTTTTTTGACCGGCATAATCTGCAAAGATTCCTCGTCCCCTTGTCCCTGAGCCGCGGCTGTGGATTGCCACCATCCGTGCCAGCTATGCTGCGGTTTCGAGGGCCAACTGTGACAGCATACCACTCAATTCGAAATGCCTGGTTACTGTGTACACGGTGCATCCACTATTCTATCACCAATGAAGCAAGCCTGCACTATTGAATGGCCGATTTCGATACTATCGCAGGGCTTCCCAGAGACAGGGGCTCGCTAGGCGGTACTACTGCCAGCCATGCAAGCCACGACTCGTCTGGCTTGTTTCATGTCTTTCTGGAACAACTGCCGATAATACAAGGCTTCGAGCGCTACACTCAAATTACGCCCGGGGAAGCTGGTCTCCAGTGCGTCATTGCCGTGTCCATCGTCGGCTCGGCCGTAGAGACCCAGCGTGATATTGTCGACGCGTACTACTAGGGTACCAGGACCAACCCTATATTCCTCTCGCGCCCCCCTTCTCGCGCGACTGACTAGATTATCACGAAGGACTACGTACTCCGTACTCCATATTCAACGCAGTAACTGCGGCCCGTGTACTCCATCGGCTTCAACACACTGGCGACGTCTGATCTCTCATCTTCCGTCCAATGGCCGCCTGTTTCCCCCCTACCTTATAGGGTACTCTCGGCCGAGGGCGCAGGGGTTTCCCGCCATTGGAAGTGTCGCCCCTGCGTCTTGATGCCTTGCCTAGCCCTACGCCAGCCCGCCCAAGGCCGCCTAAGCACAAAGGATCAGAGCATGTAGTATGTAGTAGCCAGGGCACAATCGTCACACCCTTGTGTCCTTTGAATCGCAAGTGCCGCCACGAACAACGTGCGCATTCTGCCCAGTACTTTACCATGTACCCGGTATGCGCCACGCGTGCTATCTCAGCCGTGGCTCTACGGAGTATTTCAAATCCCTGTTCTGACTCTTGTATCCCAGATACGGAGTACGCATAGGTAATTACTACACGCATACTCTCATAGTATCCAGGGGTCGTACGGAGGATAGGTATCTAATTACTCCGTATGAAGTAACTCGTACGGAGGATAGAATTCGCTATCCCCCATGTGTTGCAGTGCAGTGGACGCAGGATAGACACGCGCCCTATCTCAGCAGCAGCGATCATACTCCGTACGTATTCCAGACTTGGTTGGCTTCCATGTTCACGTCATGCACAGGATATCCAGTACGAGTACACAGTCCGAGTTCGGTATCCCGGCTATACAAGGCAAAGTACGTAGTACTCCGTACTGGCGACGAGTACTCCGTACTGTGTACTCGTATAGCATGGCATGGCGTTGCATGACAAAGCCCAAACACTGTGTAATTCGTAACTCGGGGCCTCAAGGCTCGAAGCGGAACCGGGCAGACCCGGCTGATCTGTTGGTGTCATGCTCCTTTCGGTTTGAGCAACTCGTACGGGATTCGCCGAGAAGCCTCGCTTATGTCTAGTATGTACTCGTATGTGGTACCGCGGTAAATGGGCAATTAGTTGTACTTGGTTCGCTTTGACGGATAGCCATCTGCCCAGAGGTCTAACAGTGATTCTGTCGTTTGTGCCAAGTAGCCATTTCTTTGAACAGATCTGACCACTCACATCGGCTAGAGCTTCCGTATTGACCACAGTCCACGGTACACAGTATGGTGCATATAGCCGGAGGCCACCAGACTGTCGAGCCGTGTACTGTGCACGTGGTACCTCATCAGGCATCCCGGTACCTTCGTAATGGTACACCTTCTCTCATTTGGGATGTTCTTCTCATCCCAACAACCCCAAGAGACCCCTGTCCACTTTCTCCAATTTGAGACGCTAGCCCCCAGATTTGATCGATTTAGTCCCGCGGTCACCGGCGGGACGAGCTGTACTCGTAACGGTTGCAAAGCCATTCCGCAGCAGAGCAGGTCGATCCGCTGATCCCTGCGTGCCCACTCGTACTAGGCCTGTTGCGCTGATTTCGCTGAGGTAATAATGCTGGAAGCTGAGCCACCACGCACGGGCACGCGTGAAGGAAGCGGTCTACCGCTCGACCCTCGTGATTGTGGAAATATGAGTTGTGCAGCTGGTACAACGTGCACGGACGTGAGGGCTGGAAAGCGTTTATCCGACGCTGGTGTCTGCCTTCTGCCCCATCTGCCGGGTGCTTGGAAGCGGAACAGGTGTGAGTGGTGTCTCAAAGTGGTCGGGGGTTGTATGTCAACATTGACCTTGTACCCCGTACTGCCAGATCTGCAACTTAGCAGGGAGAGTGCTCCCACCGGGTAACGTCGGGCCAGCAACAGCAGTTTCAAGGAGCTTGCTGCCACAAGTCTCTCGGTCTGTCGCCCTAAGGGCGGTTCATGACGGGCCTGAACAGCGATTTTAAGGTCGATCACAGCCCTGCTGTCGAAGACTGCCCAATAGATCAGTCTTGGAAGAGCAGGATACTTCCGGAGATGTGCTCTGCTGGCGGTTCGCAGACGCTAGGTGCGCAATGAATACTCATGGGCTGCATGGGTATGCTTGTATAGTCTCCCATGGCACTGTGCATATTCATCCCTCCAACTTTGGCTTGGATCGTAGGAGCAATGTCTCTCGCGGGTATTGCAACCCGCATACGCATCCGGTAAGCGCCGGTTTGACAGCTGCTCCTTGGTAGCCTCCAATGCGGATGATTCTGCTCAACGGCTGGTAGAAGTCAGTACCCGGGCCTCTCACGTTCCGTCCCTGGAGCACTTACCCATTGTGTCGATGCAGACCAGGGACATGCCTGTAGATCGATCGTATCCTGCATCATAGGAGTTGAGTCGTATGGGAACACCACGTAGTCAAGGCCGGCCTGCTTGTTGTGTTTGTCTGAGATGAATGCTTCCACTGGCCTGATGAGGTCCCGCTCATCTCGGAGGCCAGTCCGTTTGTTGTTGAGGGCTCTTGTGTTCTCGATTTTGATGACCTTCCTCGCAATCAGGTATGCTGTGCAGCTGGTCCAGTTGTTCTCAGCCACCCTCAATGACCCTAGATGCTTCAACGCTGCTAGGCGTGTAGCTGGATCCCGGCATTTCGTGGCCGTGAAGAAGAGAGGAGGAATGTAGCCCATGTGATAGTCGAGGTTACCAGTACCGCCAAAAATCTTGGTTGATTCGTCTCTCTTCCAAGCTTCTGCAAAGTCGTCATATTTGTCCACGATCCATTTGAACTCTTCGCCAAACTGTTCGTAGACGCTCTCGTGCTTGCTGGACGAGGCACGGAGCATTACTGAGAGCATTGTGTAGTGCACTCTGAGCAACTGAAGGGCCAGAGCGAAACGCTGTCTCCTAGTGTCCATCAGGTTTGCTTCGAACGTTTCAAAATGCATGCGCCACGATTCCAATAGCGTCTGGACCTTGTGTCGCGGTGAAGGCGTCCACGCCGGCCTTCTAAAGTCCGTCAATCTTGCGATATGATGACCGATACCGTCCAATGCATGAAGCGCTCGGTGAATTTCAGTAAACTGTCCGACACAGGGCAGTTCGGCCTCTCCAGTGATGATTGTGGTGCAAGCGCACTCTTTGACGGGGACATCCCCCATGCCGTAGGTGGGTGCCTTGTCAATATATGCAAGAAATATCGGACCTATCGTCTGGAGGATCAATTTGGCCGCTGATGAGATCTGTAAATCTGTTTGCTGAGTTGACTTTACCCATTCGTCTATGATGTTCAAGCCAGCTTGGATATGTCTCAGCCCAGGTTGGATTGAGCCCTTCATGAACTCGCAACAGGCGAACAGTAAACAGGCCATTAGGACACTCTCGATCTGGGGTGAAGCACATGTTGCTTGAAGTGCTTTCGTATAGTGAGTCTGGTAGACTGTGTTCTTGTCGATGGGAACACCCTCGAGTGCCGCGGATTCAACCAAAGACGAAGTGGCAAGCAGCAGGTGCTTGACAGCGGGCTGTGCCAGGCCGATTTTGGGCAAGAGGTCGGTCCAGAAAGAATGACCTGTTGGCAGGCATAAGTAGCGAACAGAGGGAGGGTGGCGGTTTGCTACGCAGGAAGAACTTACCGAAGTAAGATGAGAAAATAGGAGCGGCTTGTTCGTGCCAGAACTGGAAAGAGCGTCGGTCGCTGGAATCGCCCACGGGCCCGAGAGGAGAGACAAACTGGACGATGGTCGTGGTCATGCCATTACCCAGGCTGTCGTCTTTGTTGTCGACGGCTTTGCGAGGCTTGAAAAGCCATGTCTGAGGCGGTTGGTAGCCTTCGCACTTGCGTAAAGAATCGGTGCATTGGCGACACGCTGGCTTGGCCTCGTCGCATTTTATCCGCCGTTTCTGAAGTCGTTAGCAGGGGAATTGGATGCTTCCTTCGATGCATGCAATGTAAATGGTCGGGGTGAAGTGAAAGTGAGGAACATCTGAGTTGCGCGGAAGGCGGTGGTGGTTACCTACCCGACATGTCATGCACCCTGTCTTCACCTTCTGATGCGGTCGTTTGGCGCGCCCTTGAGCCATGGTGCCATAACAAGTATCCAAAAGGTAGAAGTCGGAGGCCGGTAGATGGTTGAGGTCAGAGAGAAACCGCAGGATCGGTGGTCGACGGGTCGGTCGTGTTGGGTGGTCTGAAGCAAGATTGAAGATTGCAGTCGAAGAAATCCGACTCCACGAGCCTCCGCGCCTCTTCGCCAAAGGTGTTTAGCCTAACTATGTACCACAGTGGCTAGTTCGATTAGGAGGTGGTAGTCGGCGGCCAAGTTCTCGCTCGGCTGGCAAGTCACAGCTGACTTAACTAAACTCTAAGCAGCGGCCGATCCGGTAATCGCAGCCCAAACACTGGGGGTTTGCCATCGATCGCCCATCGCTCACTCCGGCGTGTACTCGTACTCAACATGTCTGAGGCAGGGGCAAAAGTCCCTCTGTACACAAGTAATAAGCTGTCCGGGATTCCTCCACAACAACCACAACTACGTGCACATGCGGGTCGAGGTCGTCGTCTGTGACTGGCATACGCGCATAAACCCAGCGTGGTAAAGGCCCAGCATATTTGGTGCCTGGGCAGGCTGATGGGGGCCACCACGAAGGGAATTGGGCTTTGTCAGGTGAATGAATGGAGCGATCGACTGTATGCCGTCCCAGCAGGTGATGCATGCTTACACATCTTCTGGATTTTGATCTGGCTGAGTTTGCCATCGTCCCACTGTTCCCAGCTGGATCCATCGCAGGTGAGGACGAAGCTACGGATTGTTTCTAGTGATTATGAGCGGCTGCCGATCCTCGGCGGTTGATTCGTCCACAGCTGTGGACAGAGCTCCATCCATTAATACCAAATGCAAATACACAGTACTGCGCAAAGCGATGTTGACGAAGCACCGCGTACTGTGTAAACAGTAATACCTACTGTGGCTGAACTCCAGCAGTCCGGAAGTGCGGAGGCTGCATGAGGCCAGGCTTCGAGCACGGCAGACAAATCCATAGAGCGTCACACGTTATGATTATGTCCGTCCGATGGCTGACACCATTTCAAATCTCCATTGCCCAGTCTTTCGAAACGTAAAGCACGTACTCCGTACTCCCTTCCGAATGCCGAAGTCCGCATCAAGTCTAGGGTTGTCAAAAGCGTCATCGGGTGGTATCTTTGAGGGCTTCTTAGCGGCGGCGGGCTTGGGGCTAGAGGGGACTTCATTAATGATGAGACCCTCCTGTAAGGCTTGGTGTGGTAGAGCGAAGACCCGGACTCTACAAGCCAGCCTCCCAGTAAGGCTGAGAGGAAGTGACGAGGCTGCTCGCGGTGAGGTGGAATGGCACGCAGACTGACTGCAGTCAGACATTCGTCAATACGAACAATCCAGGTACAAGGAAAGGCAAAAGTGTTTCCGAGTGTTCTAAAGTGAGATACGTCAGACAGTGAAATTCGCAAAGTAAGGCGCAGCTGCATCTTCATTCCGACTTCTCTCTGAAATGCCAGAGTGTCGTTTCGCACTGGGCAGTAATTACTTGCCACGGCTGCCTCTGCCTCGATGTTCCTTATGGGACTGCCATTCCTGTACCACCACCTTGTACCTTGATACAGCCTCTCCTTCCTCCTACGATTCTCATCCCGCAAAATGAAGCTCCCCACGTCGCTCTTCCTCACCCTAGGCTGCGTGCTCCATGTCGATGCGCTCTACAGCAAATCATCGCCTGTGCTTCAGGTCAACGCGAAGACTTATGGCTCCCTGATTGCACAATCCAATCATACTTCGGTATGTCTTCCCTTGTTGCCGCTTTGTGCCTGCGCCGACGACTAATGCTCATGTCAGATTGTCGAGTTCTACGCACCCTGGTGTGGCCACTGTAAGAATCTGCAACCCGCGTATGAGAAAGCAGCGAAGAGTCTTGCGGGTCTAGCCAAGGTCGCAGCCGTCGACTGTGACGATGAAGCCAATAAAGCATTCTGCGGTCAGATGGGTGTTCAAGGGTTTCCCACTCTCAAGATCGTCAGACCGGGATCGAAGCCAGGTCGGCCTGCTGTTGAGGATTACATGGGACCAAGATCTGCCAAAGGCATTGTGGAGGCCGTGAAAGACAAAATTCCCAATCATGTCAAGAAACTACAAGGTGATGCTCTGGCTACGTGGCTTGAGGACAAAGCTATCCCGGCGAAGGCAATTGTATTCACGGACAAAGGTACTACCAGTCCATTAGTCAAGAGTCTGGCCATCGATTTCCTCGGCACCATAGCCTTCGCGCAAGTAAGGGACAAGGCGACTGCCGAGACGCATGGGGTCTCTAAATTTCCCACTGTCCACCTCATTCCATCCGCAGGAGCAACACCTATTCCGTATGATGGAGAGATTAATAGGGAGTCATTGGTGAGCTTCTTCAGCCAAGTCGCCCCTCCGAATCCAGATCCCGCTCCAAAGGCAAAGGCAGCCAAGTCTTCAAGCAAGAAGCCGAAATCGAAGCCATCCTCATCGGCTTCCGCGGCCTTCTCACGAGCTTCTGAGGCTCATAAGTCATCGGATTTTGAAGAGCACCTCGCGGGCTCTAGCACAATTGTGCTCGATGATACGCCTCCGACCGGGTCCCCTCTGCCCATAGTCGACACGGAAGAGAAGCCAATGGTCATTCCGCATGTGGTGGCTCCTATTCCGACCCTCAGCACTGCTGCCGAGGTTGAGGCTGCTTGCTTATTACCAAAGAGCGGTAACTGTATCTTGATCTTGCTTCCTGCGGAAGTTACGCCATCTCAGGCTACGACTTCTGCGTCGTCAGGATTCGCCGAGATTTCAGACAAGTACAACAAACGCAAGGCGGTTGTGATACCAATGTATGCTGTGCCGGCTGACAACCAAGCCGCGACTCGGATTAGAAATGACCTTGGTCTTGGCTCAGATGAGAAGATGGAAATCATTGCAACAAATTTGAAGAGAGGATGGTGGAGGCATTATCAGGCCGATTCTTACGATATCCTTGACCTTGAGAGTTTCATTGATGCCATCAAGCTCGGGGAAGGGTCAAAGTCGACGTTGCCAGCTGGGTTTGGCGCGACCACAGCCGAGACTTCAGAGCCCGACGTTGTCGAGTCGACCGAGACTGTTGACTCTAGCGAAGATATCGCCGAGCCTGAACCTGAGCCTGAAGACACGCCCACGGCGGAAACTACCTCAGAGATCTCGAGCGAGGCTGAGCCTGAACCAGCAGAGACTCCTGTTGCTGAGCACGACGAACTATGAGCCCGAAGTGAAGACTTTCCATCTTTACTGAGCTGTTACGAACTCGATTGCGCATACGAACGAACTTTCACCTTTGGCTGAGAACATCCTTTCCAACCAGCAATCAATCTGGCGGCGAACGTCGTCACAGGTTCTCCTGATTCCTTCAATTTAAATTTCACCGAGTTGTCACTTCCTCCTGAGTTCATCGCCCTCGTTTGCCTGTCACTCTTACTTCTGTCTTCGAGATTTCTCCTCGTAGATCTCCCTGGCCTGCTCATGGTTTCCCCGTTATTCAACCGTCTTCTCAGATTGACTTCAAAATTCTTCAAGTCTTCTCCTTCTTGTCTTCGCTTTTCAAAACACTGAGAGCGCCACTCCGTGGGATGGGCTTTGTCTCTATCTACACGCCAATCTTGCGTCAACCTCCTTTTCTGCTTTATTGTCTTTTGCTACATGCTCGCTTCTGGTTCTGAATTCTGGCGTTTCTAATCGCAGGTTGGTACAAATAGGCTTTATTGCGATGGCACAAACACGCGCGGTCTTTGGCTGGACTCGAGAAACGGAGATCGGCAAAGGCCCTGCAGAATCAACTCCAGAATCATCTCAACAATCTCAAGTGGACTCCTTTCAAGAGAATGCGTGGGAAGACGTACAGAAAGAAGCTTCCCTCAAGCTACCACTAACGTCAGAGGATCATGTCCTGGCCGATGTTACCGCCTCAATCGATGGTAGCGCGGCTCAGTTGAACCCTGATCAAGGCCTTGCCACTAACATTACCGACATCCTGGGCAAGCCTGACCTGACCCAGCGTACAGCGGAAGTCATGACAACAAATCAGAGTGGTATTCGGGGCAGCATCAGAAAAGCTCTTCAGTCTGGGGTCCTCGACATACCACCATTCAAGCCAGCCAACGACACCAGCCTGTCAGCAGACAAGCGGATCACTTACCAACTTCCCCCAGCCTTACTGGAGTCTGACTACATTTCAACTTACCGAAAACTATTCGATCGTTCAGCACTAGTCCCCGATAGTAACTTACCTTTGAGTTCGCAAATCATGGGCTTTTGTCCGATCTGGGCAATGTGGATCGCCGAAATAGCAGAGGAAGCGAAACGTGAGAAGTTACTAGACCGGGTATTCGACATGGCCACTAAAGCCTGGTTCGAAGCCTTACGACTTGGCTACAAGCCAGATACAGGTGGTGCAGAAACAGCGACACCGCGCACGCCTGCGAAGCGACCCGTCCTTCCGGGAGAAGACATTCCGTCTGGGCTCCGCGGGAGACCGCGCCCGAAAAAGGAGACCGATCCCCTGCAAATGCCTGTCTTGACTGCCTTCAGCCACAAAGACGGACCTCGTTGGCCCATCACGGCAGGCGAACTTCAAGCTGCTGGCATATCTATGACGCGACTTCAAAGACGCGCAGCTGACAAAAGCGACTTAGTAGAAGCCGGGGACGAGCTCCTCAGGAAGGTACTCCAAATGTACAATGGTCAAATTGCGGCGAGAGACTGGTTCGATGTCGAAGAGAGGACGAAGCTGAACCCTTTGGGCCGGGACCTTCAGGTGTATTGCCTCTACGAGGTGCTGAAGTCGCGGGATAGCATTGCACAACTGAGAAGCTATTTCGCGAAGTTCAAGACGGTAAAGCAAAAGGAGAACACACAAAGACGTATCGACGAGGAGCAAGAACGCCAGGATTTATTCGCGGCTCTTGCACTGGAACTTGAAGAAGACAACCCGCGATCACCTACTCCTTCGGTCTTTCCCTCTACCAGCACTCGAGAAGGGTCAGTCAGCAGCGCTCACATGACAAAGACGGCTGAGATATCCGACCTCGATCGATTTCGATCACTCGTCAATGCCATAGAGAGCACCCTCAAGGACAGCAATTTTGCAGATATGATCACCACCTTCGAGCTTTATGGAATGTCAGAGGGCGACCTGATCTCAAGTACCCCCTTCGAGGACATTTCAAGTGACTTTGACCGCTGCCAGCGCGTTATGCAAGAAATGCTGTTCGACGCCCGGGACTGGCTGAAACTTTTGCAAAATGGGCAAGCTCAAGATGTCAACATTCAAGAGCTGGAGATGCAGATCAACAAGAAGAAAGAGATCCTCCGTGGAGTCTACCCTTCATTGCTTGCCGAGCTCGACGCAGCCAAGACTGCTGTTGGCGATGACGATGCGGCGGCGAGCGTTGTCGAGGATGAATTCGTGTCGTCCGACAATGACGAGTTGATGACTGAAGTTCCCGAATCAGCGCCAACTGGGTCCACTAAACGTTCTCTGGACGCCGAAGCAGACGACGCACTTGGTACTCAATCACCAGACACGAAGAAGCAAAAGACTGTGGATGAAGAAAGAGCCTTGCGAATCGAGGTTCCGGCGCCACTTGTCCAGCTCGGAGTCGATGAGCGTGACGGGGGCCCTTTCGCATCGACTGGTGCGACAGCTCCGACCATCGAGTTACCCGCGTCCAACAGCCTACAGCAACCAAGTCTTCTTGTCAAGCTTCGTACTCGACCAGGCTTTGATCCAGAAACGCTCACAAGCACCAAAATCTTCTATCAAGACGGCTTCAGATATCGCTATTCACCTGAGTCGACCCTAGCGCAACGCTTTTCCATAAACGATACCTTGCGCAGCTATATCGGAAGGTGCACTCAACAGCACATAAGCCCCAACAACGAGTGGAGATATGGCAGATACCAAGGTCTTATTCATGTTGACGACCCATCTCGCACAACCATTGTTCACGGGGTCTGGGATCTGGAGGATGGGAGTCAGCCAGCAGGCTTTGAACGATTCTACAACGGGGATGCAGAATACACAGCCGTTCTGGAAGATACTTTCATGTCCGAGACCGATGGTGAGGAAGCTGAGCCACGGCTGCCATCACCACCGCTACGGAAGAGGAAGTCGAATACGAAATCAGGACGAAAGGGAGCCACCCGCTCCAGGCAGGAGGATTTGCGCTCCACCGCCGTCGACACCGAGAAAGGCAGAGTTGGTGGTCGTGGCAGGAGCAAGACGCGAGCCAATTCAACCATCAATCACCATGGCGTCATCACCAGAGCCAAATCTGCAAAGCCGCGTGTACGTCTGTTGATGAAGCCGGTACCAGTTCCACAAGAAAGGTTCGTCGATGACAGCATTTCGATGAATCGACCCAAGCGGCGAGGCGCTACGAGGAAAAGCTACGCCGAGGATTTAGACGATAACGACGACGACGACTATGCTCCTGACGAAGAATATGAAAGTTGAGGACAATGCCCGACTTGCACACACACACATGCTGGCACATACCTTTGGCGAATGGGATTTTCGGACACAGCCCGGCAAATACATCTTGGCTCGTTTCTATTGGGAATGAATCATCGCATGAGCAGGGCACGACATGGGCCACTCTCAGGATCGATCATATGGAGCAAGCACGGATTTCGGACATGCTCTGCGGTTTTGATCGTTTGCCGCAAATATTCGTCGAACTTGGACAATGAAAGGAAGGTGCGCAGGAACTGGAGGACTTCTCGTCCTTGAGTTGCTTTATTGAGGTCGCCGTATTTGAGTTGGAGACACTGGCTGCCCGTAGCGTTTGCATGAATCTCATTTTCGCACAAACTGTCGTAGCAGAGGAGCATGCACGTCGATCAACGGCCAGGACATATATCCGGCACCGGATCGCATACGTGGTCAGCGTTTGAGGTGAGGCTTCTCCCGTCTCTCTGCCTCTGCCTTTGGGGGGAAGCTCTGTGCTGCCAGCTCTGACCTCTGACCTCTGGCATCGTTGCGGGCAGTTCACGCACGATAAGCACAGAATAAAAAAAAGCCAGCACCAGGCCAAAAAAAAAAAGTGCGTTCGTTCTCAATCTCACACCTTCTGCCTGGTCTTCGCCTTTCTCCTCCCCTCCTTCTCCTTGTCTTTCTTGTCCCTGCGCTTCTCTACTCTCGATGCATCGTCCCCATTCAACTTGGCATCCCTGTCCTCTTCTTCGTCATCGAGTCTCCGCTTCTTGACTTTCTCTCGCCCGCTCTTCACGCTGACGACGGTGCTGGCGCCGGCTTCGCGGACTTGTCGCTCGGCTTGGTCCCATGCCGCATCGTCGGCGGCCGCGGTGGCGGAGATTTGGTACCTGTTACCGAGGGGGGTTTCTTGTTAGCTAGGTTGACCTGATCAGCACGGCGCTGAAAGCTGAGAGTGTAGAGCTGAGAGCTGGATGGGAAAGGGAACTGAGAGCTAGATGGAGAAGGAATGTAGGCTAAGGGAGTTGAGATTGACTGGTATGGTAGGTAGGGGGCGGACGTGCAGCCAGCTAAAGAGTTGGTGGATAAGGAGGATTGGTGATTTGCAGGGGCAGGACCGGGAATCCGGGACATACCTATCAAGCGGCAATGCGTCGATCAAAGCACGCTGCTTCTCCTTTATCGCCGGATCGATTTCTTCGCCGTGTTCATCCTCGTCTTCGTATGTGCCCTTTTGCTTAGCGGGATCTGGCGCCTTGATGGGCACCCTGCTGCCACTCGTGCTTTGCAAATGTGGCTCCGGCACTGGCACTCCATCGTTGTCGGCATTTTCGCGCAGACTCATCTCGACGTCTCCGCCCACGACGACCCTCAGCGCGGTGCTTATCTTCCTCATCACCTTGACGAACATCGCCAGCAGCTGATTACTCGGCAGGTTGAGTTCCTCTTGCACATCACTCAAGTCTTTCCTCTGCAGACCGATGGCCAGCAGAATACTCTGCTGGACGCCGCTCAATGCCACGTTACAGGGCGGTGCTTTCAAGCGGCCTGTGAAATACAGCTGCGCCAGTGCGGGCAGGAGGTCCAGCACGACGTGGTAATCGAGCAGGTTGTTTGCGTAGGATTCCAGCCTCGCGAGGTCGAACGGGGAGAATAAATTGTCGAGATCACGTTTCGAGAGCGGTTGCACAGGACTTGTACTCGACGTCGCCCCTTCTGTAAATTTCGTCGCACGGGTGGCACTTTCGGAAATACTCAGCGCTTGCACGCTTGCGAACGTGCGGAACTGGTAGCTCAGCAGGGTTAGGAACCGGCGGTGGAAATCCAGCGCGTAAGCACTGAGCCACGAATTGTCCGTCGCGGTGGCGCTTGAAAGCGGTCGGAGCATAACGCATGAATGCTCTCCAGTCAACTCGTTGGGCGTTTGTCGGAGGTAGACGGGCGCAAAGGCGTGCCGTTTCCAGAATTTGTGTAAAGGCTGCGTTAGGCCGTATGACACGCCGATGTAGTCCAGTTGGTCGGGTTTGCGCTCTGAGAGTTTGCTGAAGAGAGGGGGCATGCTGTGGATGTCTCGCACTTTAATATCATCGGCGAGGAGGGTCGAAGATTCCAGCTCAGTGTCTGTGATCCGCGTCATGCTGTGTTCCGTGTCTTCGATGGTGGTTTCGTCCTTCTCGGAGAGCGAAGTGAATTTTCCTTCGTAGAAATGCGTCAGAAGCTCAAGCGCGCGCGACCCGTAGCCCATGTTTAGATACTCTGGGTTTGTGGCAATTCTGACAACGCGACTCCCCGAAAGCCCGGCGAACTCGCTGTCCTGAAATTGCTGGCTCACTAACCAGGGGATCAAGTCCCCGCCGGCTCGTTGCCCGCGAGATAGACTGTTCAGAACGGAATTTTTGCTTATGCGCCCCTCGAGGGCGACTTGAATGACGCACAGTGGCTCGGGGAGTTTAGTCGCGTCCTCGGGGATGGGTGGGATTAGGACGAAGAGCTGATGCGCAGGTGCATCCGACATGAGTTGCAGATCGTTGGGTGAGTTCTTGTAATGCGATGCCACGTAAAGGGCCATCATCTGTTGCAGGAATTTCTCTGATACGGGGTGGAAGGAGAACAGGGTGTCGCGGTTTACCTGCACAAGCTCGCAGGTTGATGGATGGGGCGTGCCTTGAGTATTCACCTTGGATTTGGGCAGCGTGGCGTCTAGGCAGAGGAGTCTGTTCAGCCATTTTTCGACGTTGTCACCGGGAGCGTAGCGGATTGGCTCTGCGAGAGTGATCTCGCGGAGGGAGCGGCCACCCGAGTAAACCTTCTGGCCGTCTTTGGCCGCTTTGCCCGTGTTTTTGTCAGCGACTTCGACGTCATTGCCATTGACACTGGGAGCGCCTCTTGACTGCTCGCGAAGCTGCTGTATGAGCTTGAGGGAGAGTGAGCGACCGGTGCCCTCATAGCCGTTGATCGTGGAAGCCATGAAGACGAGATATGGTCCCATTAGCTTTCGGACTAGCGGCAGAGGAATAGCGGCTGCTTCATCAATAACTACTAGCTCTGCCTGGCCAAGGACATGGGCGTCTTGAGGTTGAATGTACTGGATAGTCTGCCGATGTTGTCTGTGGACATTGATTCGCACAATGGCTTTGTTGTACTCTGGATTGGTTGACTGCAGGATCGTGTAGTCGACGTGGTCCATGTACTCAAGGGCATCGAATCCTTTTACGACGAACTCGAACAATGTCTTGAGATTCTCGGGACTGGGAGAAGTGATGAAGATGTTGCTATAGCCATGAGCTATCGCGGCAGCCACAGCCACACCAAGAGCAGCAGACTTGCCACGCCCTCGAGCGGCTGTCAGAGTGACTGTGCTCCGCAGAGTTTTCTCTGAGATGGCATCAACAAAAGTGAGAAGAGCCTTTGCCTGATCGACGGTTTTTGAGAGTGCAACGAGGGGTCCGACCGGCTTGCTGTCAGCCAAGCTGTCTTTGATCTCCTTCAACTCCTTCTGCTCCGGTCGAACACGGTCTACCTCAGTAGCCGGTGGTGGCAAAGGCTGTACATTCTTCCCTCCTGATATAGGCAGCACATTCATCTCGTCATCCACGACCAGGCACGACTCACAGACACCGAGCGACAGGATGAACCTCTCGTTGAATCTCGCCACGACGTCGTCGTGTGCCTCTGTGCGATACCTGGAGTGGACATCCATAGACATTGTATAGAGCTGTTTCAGACTCTTCATGCCTTTGAGCAGAAGCAAGACCAGTCCGCCGCCCTCGACCGTTTCCACGGTGCGCGCCAGCAGGTTGGGCGTGATCGCCTCGAAGTCTTGTAGAATGCACATGCCATATGTGTTTCCGAGAATCTTATCCGTCTCCTTATAGTAGACATAGCGGATGTTGTGCAGGGTCACGAAAAGCTCGAAGGGATCTTCCGTGTTGGCGTCTCGAATGCCTCGTTTGACCTCCTTCCTGATCTTGGTCTCTCGCTTCTTCCGGTGGGATGTGAAGCCTAGAAGGTCTTTCTTGTACGCCCACAGCACCGACTTGTTCTGCTTGACGTCGACCGAGGCCATGATGTAGTGCAGGTGGACAATCACGTCTTTCGCCCGATCGCCTACCACCACAATGAAACTGCGCTTCCTCTCCTGGATGCCATTGCGGATCAGCGCCGGGATGCGCGAGTCGATGGCTTTGCGAGGCATATTGATCTTTGCCCGGCCACCCTCCGCCTTAGAATGGGGTTGGCAGTGGAAAGAATGCTGCGAGAGTGAGCAGTCCGTCGACGGCAAGCCGTGAACATTTTTCTCCAAAAATTGGCCGTTGTCGCTCGCCGCACTTACTCCTTCCAGAAATCTGGGGAAACCAGCCACGTGACGGTCTGCCCGAATTAAGCTTCACTCACCATTTCCTCAGCCTTGCCTCGCCTGGTTCCTGCTCCTGCGCAACCAACTGGACTCGGCAGTCAACGGTCACAGATTAAAGGGACTACGAACCCCTCCTCGCCTCTTGCTGGCCTCATGCGAATCATACAAAGCGCGCAGACTACGCGATGCCGCTGGATAAAAGGAAATTGCTGATGCGTGCTCCTCTAACATATCCCATCGAGCCTGAACCCTTATTATGGCGTATCTCGACATTCTATGCTTGAGGTGGGAGTGAGCGCCCTACTCTTACCGTGCGCTTCACTGACTATATCAGCCTTTCGTTGCTGTCAGCAATATCTCTGGCGCACTACCTTCCAGAATCCACGGCATTCGACCGCCCGGTTCATACCATCGTCCTCGCCCTGACGGCATGCTCCTCCGCCCTACCGAGCATAAGCCGCGCACTACCTCGACTGTTTCAAATCCCGGAGTCTCGGAAAAATAAAGGCCAGTACACCGCAGTACCTCTAGAAGAACTGGGCGAGGCGAATGGAAGACTCGCTGAACACTCAAATACGCCTCCCCAACAAAATGGGAAGGTTCGCGTCTCCGTGCTCGCCCTGGCCATTTGCTCGCTTTCAGTACGCATTGAGCTCTACCGCCGCATCTCGCTTGCCACGGAATGCACCATAAGCAGCGTCGAGGTGTTCCTACCATTCCTCCTTGCGGTCTGGGATGCTTTCAGGTCGCAACGCTCGCTGGACCTGCAACAAGAGGAGAGGCCAGACAGCTCAGTGTACGAGTCCCTAAGGTCCGCTCTTAGGAATTACATTCTAAGACCGCGGACTCGACATATGTTCTCCCTTTTCATGCTCTCGTATGGATGTTACCTCACCCAAGGATTATGGACTTCCTCAAATTCGACATATATCTGCCCTGCGGCCCTTGGTTTGCCGAGGACGGTGCCGCTGATGCAGATCGGTTCGCTCGTGCTGGACTTCTGCCTTGCTGTCATTGCTTACGAGAATGCCCCTAGACCAGATGGTAGGGGTCTTTCAGGACGGAGATCTGTCGTTCTCTGGAGCTCCGTCATGATCTCCACTTCAGTCGTGTGGTGCACCGTGGCGACTGTTCTGTATATTTTCAAACCCGAAATCAGGCCCTGGCTGTTGTTCCTATATCCAACATTGGAGTTCGGGACCATTTTGGCTATGGCTGGTCATATTTTCACTTTGTGTGTTTTGTGCATATCGCTTCTACATTGCGTAAGTAGGTGCACGCTGAAAGCTGCGCCCAGGCTGATATCAGTAGATCACGACGTACGGCGCCTTGGATATGTCGATTTACCTTACCGCCCTGACGACTATGATACCCGCATTCAAGTTTATATGGTCACACAAGAATCCTTTCCCTCCAATGCCAATCTCGACCACGACTTTCGCTTTTCTACTTATATTCTTCGGTAGATGGATATACCGGCGTGTCCAACAAGCTCTGGGTGAAAAGGACCCCATGCGAAACTCCCGTCAAGTCTTCCTCTTCATTATCCTGTGCATACTGCTTTCCCCAGCGTGGCGGAAGAAAGATTATACTCATTTCCACCCTATCGACATGCTGATGTACGACGCCAAGCTCCATCACGACAGATACCTTGAGACCGTGGGCGACACTGCCTCCCTGGGCGAAACCGTCGCTCGGTACCGGCAGAGATATAACCGCAGTCCTCCGCCTGACTTCGACGTCTGGTTTGAGTTTGCGAAGAACAAATCAGCGCTGATTGTTGACGAGTTCGACCAGATCTATGACGATCTATTGCCGTTTCATGCCATTGCACCGGCCGACCTGAGAAGGCAGACCTGGGAAATGGTGTCGAATCCGTGGAACGAAATCTCCGGGATCACCATCCGCAACGGAGAAGCAAAGGTGCAGGAAAATGTACTGCCCACGCATCGATGGATGCTCGAGGGCGTGGCCGTCCTCATCAACAGTTTCGCGCAATACCTGCCCGACATGGATCTGGCGTTCAACTTGAACGACGAGTCGAGAGTCGCTGTTCCGTACGAGCGGATCCAACATCTTCGCCAACAAGCCAGATCACAAGACAACACCGGCCATTCAAGCTGGTCTGCCGACCGCGCAGCTGGCTGGCTGCCAATCCCCGAGCATGAATATAGGGAAACCGTCTTCCGTGAAAATTCGTGGCGCAACAGCTTCCGCACGTTCGGCTCAGCGGGCTGTCCTCCCTCATCGCTAGCAAGGAGCTCTCCGCACATTTCATCCCACTCGCACCTCTGCGGCCCTTGCGTGGCGCCTCATTCCTTGGGCCAGTTCCTCGCCAACTGGACGGACGCCGCAGACATCTGCCATCAACCCGACATGGCGCATTTGCACGGCTTCTACCTCTCCCCCGCGGCATTCAAAGCCTCGTATCAGCTTATGCCTGTCTTCTCGCAGTCCAAACCACACGGCTACAACGATATTCTCTACCCTTCTGCCTGGAACTACATGGACAAAGTGGTCTATAAGCCCGTTCCCCCAAGTGGCACACCCGGCACCGAAGACGCCAACCCGGGCTTCCCGGACCCGCCATTCTCTGCCAAGAAGAACGTGTTGTTCTGGCGCGGGGCGACTTCCGAGGGTGTCTCCTCCGAAAGCGCCGCCTGGCGCGGCATGACACGCCAACGCCTCGTGCACATGTCCCACAACCTAACCACGCACCCGCACGACAAGGTGACCATCCTCCTCCCCAATCCCGCCGATCACACCAAGTACAAGTACCAGACCCTTCCAGGCCCCGCAGTCAAACAACTGGGCTTAACCACAGATATTGCGATCGTGGACTTTATCGCCCGCTGCGGCGGCCACGACTGCGACGATCAAAAGGCCGAGTTTGCCCTACTCCCGCCCTCGGACTTCCAAGCGCACTGGGGGTTCAAGTACCTGTTCGATCTCGACGGCGCGGGCTTCTCGGGCCGCTTCCTCCCCTTCCTCCAGTCGCACAGCCTGCCGTTCAAGACGGCGTTGTTCCGCGAGTGGTACGACTCCCGCCTCACCGCGTGGCTACACTTTGTGCCGCAGGACACACGGCTCCACAGCGTGTGGTCGACGCTCGCGTACTTTGCCGGCGTGGACGGCACAATGTGGGGGCAGAAGATCTGGTGGAAGGGCCACGACGCCGAGGGCGAGATGATTGCGGAGGCCGGTCGCGAGTGGGCGGCAAAGGTGCTCCGGAAGGAGGACATGGAGTGTTATTTCTTCCGCCTGCTGCTGGAGTGGGGCCGCTTGACGGACGATCGGAGGGATGAACTAGGATTCGTCGTGCCATGAACTTACCGTGTACTCTGTACCGTGCTGGGCGATAGTGAAGGGGAAGGTGAATGAATGAGATCAAACCAAGCTCACCCTGTTGCCTGCTGTACTGTACTCTAAGTGCGTACCCCAGTGCTTTGGGTGTCTGTGTTCGCGTACAGCATGGTCAGTCAGTGGTGCGCTTGCAAGCCTGGGAGTCGCCTCAATCTTTTCGCCACGCATGCTCATGCCACTTGAAGGTTCCTGAGCGCTTTTTTTTTTTGCCTAATATCCTTTTTGCAGATCCTTCGTCGGAAACGTCCTCCTGAGGTCGCCACCAGATCTACTGAGGGGACGGACGTGGGTCCAGGGTCGTTTGTCTTCCAACTACTTTCATGTCCATGTCAGGCGGGCCTCCGTAGGTGCGACGCTCGGAAGGCCTTCGGAGGGAAGGAAACATACTCTCCTCGAGCGAGTCGTATTGAGTAGCGATTCAAGACATATTTTTCTGCCGTACTCGGTACCTCATGGCGTCGACCAGAACGAGACGTTTGTGCCGATATCTCAATATTTCAATGCAGTGTCCTCGTTAATACGGATTCGAAGTATATGTTCCCTCTCTCTCGTTTCAATTATGCATGCCTAATACGGTGTAGTGTACGCACACCCACCGGAATGCTGGTTTTCGGATCCAGCTGGGTGGATATATGTGTAAGTGCATCTCCTGGACATGACGCATGACGGCTTCACTCCGATGCAATGCAATGCGACGCTCCCCATGCCATGCCATGCCATGCCATCACATCATATCTCCTACCTCCTAGTGCTTGCTTTGCTCCGCCGACTCCTCCTTGACTCGACACTGATCTGGCTAACGCTATCCTCTGGGCCAACCTCCCGGTCCGTGACGTCCAGATCCTTCAACTCCTTCTGCTTGCTCACGACGCTCGCCGTGTCGGCCTTCTCGACCTGTTCGCCCCTCAATCTCCCAATGACTGTCCTCGGGGCGTCGACTCTTCCGTTGGGTCCGAAATTCGACCTCGCAGAGACGAAGGACCTGCCCGCGTCGGAACCAGTCCACGTGGCAGCCCTCGACGGCGGGAGCGGGTACTCGGCTGGATCCCGGGCACGGGAATGTTTCGAGCTGGCGCGACTGGGTGCTTTGGAACCGGCTTTGGAACCACCGCTCGAGCCGTGATACGCGGTACTGCTCTTATGCACCGACCCTGCCACGTGGAGCACGGTTTCTGCCTCTTCGACCTCGCCCTGGACGGCTTCGAAATCGTCGCGGCGGGAGCGTGTGCTGTGACGAGATTGAGACCTTGACCTCGGCGTGTTACCGCCGGCTCGAGAGCGGCTTGCTTGGGAGAGACTCCGGCCCAGGCGGGTGAGACTGCTTGCTCGGGAGCGTGAATCTTCATTGCCGTCACCTTTTGCGCTGGACACTTTGGATATCTTTTCCGTCAACACGGTGGGGGCGCGGTAGCTCGTTGGCGGTGGCGCACCGCTCTTCTTTGAGTGGCGGGATGCTTTCGAGGAGGCGTGCGACGCGACTTCGATATCACGGGGACCGGGGCCGAAGCCGGAGTCCAGGCTCATTCGCCGGGTCACTGACGCGGGTCGGATTGTACTTGCGTAATCGGACTTTGGGGATGCGTGACTGTGGTGAGTAATTGCCGTGGGTGCAGGAGGACTAGGTTCGTTATCCTGCATGGTGATTAATTTCTGATCGTCGTGGTTGCGAGATGAGTATGTCAATGCTGAGGGAGCGGGTTCGATGGCTCGCTGGAAGCCTCCTCCAACGTAACCTGCGTGGTAGTCGGAGGGCGCGGAGGAGTACACGGGACGCAGAATAGCAGGGGGCTCAGTCACGCTTCGACCAACCACGGACGGGCGACGGGGTTGGAATTTATGTGAGTCACGATCATCGTCCGAGGAGGTGTCCTTTGAGCGGTTGCTAAAAGCATAGTGCAAGGCTGCACCGGCGGCCACACCGAGAAGGGTACCGACGATGGCTTCACCCGCTCCGCTTCCACCACCTGTTGCCGTGTTGGTAGGTACTGATGGCGGCGACGAAACATTGCCTTTGAAACTGCTGACAAGGTCGCGTGCCACGTTGGCTGCGCTGCGGGCTTCGTTGATCAACGTATTGAGAACATCGCCTGAGGGTTTTGGCTGTGGCTGCGTCTGTTCGGGTGTTTTTGTCGATGCTGCCGACATCTGAGATGCCGCTTGGCTCTTCGCTTGAGAGACGACACTTTGGGCTGGTGCAGCTGTAGTGGGCGCTTTGCTTCTTGCTTGGGAGACGACGCTTTTGGCCGGTGCTGCAGTTGAAGGTGCTTTGACACTTCCGGTTCGATGGGACACCATACTCCTGCCGTCGACATTCTCCTTGTTTGCTTCACCTATCGGTCCCGGCCTGTAGACCGCCTCAATCGAGTTGCCGTCAAAGTCAATCACGGCCGCTGAATAGTACCCCGTACTATCCCGCTGACATGGCTCGCCATGGATTTTCCCCCCAGCTTTTAGGGCAGCGACGAAGAATTCTTGAACATCGGCTCGCGAGGCGGCGGGGAAAGCCACATGAGCGGCACCAGCCGGCACACCCGGGATCTCCTGCGTAATCCAGAAGTCTGCGGGCGTGTTAGGTGGATATTCCGGACCGAAACCAATTGTGTGTTCCTGTCGGCCCCGGAAGACGTAGCCTAGGGGTTGGAGCGCGGAGAGGAAGAACGAAGTGGACGTTGGGAGGTGGCTGACGGTAAGTGTGATCGAGGAAGGCATCGGATTGTTGATGTGTCGCGGTCGCAAAGCGGCGGGAGTGTGGAAGCGAGGCTGAGTGTTGGACAGTATGGAACAAGGTGGAAGTGCTGTTGATGGTGCTAAACTGGGATGATATGGAAAAAAGAGGTGTGCCTGTGCTTCTGATGATCGAGACCAGTATATGCAATCTGAAGTGTCCCCAATATACCTTCCACTTCGCAGCGTGTTTATCTTGGACGAGTCTTGGCGAGACTGTGGACTCGCAGTCTGGATGTGATGATACGCCACGGCCTGTGTCACCGTGATCGAATCCTATTCGGGATTGTAGGCGATGAGGCGGGAGACGAGGACCCAGCTGCGGTGAGGCCGAATATCTTTGATCTAGAAACGAGGATATGCAGGTCAGTTTGCAATGGTAGTGACATAAGAAACAAGCCGAGATGCAGCTTTTAAGCAACGACGAGAGGATCCAGGTTCGCCTAGGAATCCGCAGATAAATCCACAGTGACGGGTATGAGTCCGGACCTTTATTCGCTACAGGTCGTGTGATGATCACCCATTTACCGGAAAACAGTTCATGAGAACTAGCGGGTAAAGAGCGCATGTCAAGGGAGTGACTCCGTGATCTGATGCTCGAGCTGGGTACCTGCGCCACGGCCACTGACAGTGACGAGGGAGCAGCAGCCGAAACTAGGCGCCTGACCGCAGTAGATGCAGAGGGTGTATGGGCACCTCACTGAGAGGTAAGGCGCCACGGGGGTGGAAGGAGGATGCATGCTGCATCTGGGTGAGGCGAGGAGATCGTCCAGATGTTGTTGGTGGCAACGAATGGAAACGACGATGCAATGAAATAGTTCGGTGCAGAATATGCCACGTCGAAGGCCCGCATGGGGGAGAGGTGGCGCTCGCAGGAATTGTCGGGCCTGGTGGTGCCTACGAAGACAAAGTCGTTCGAATTATGGTGTTTTGTCTGCCGTTGATTGGCGTCGGGGATTTGCGCGCGGAAGAGAAAGCGGGGCCGGCCAATGGAGATGATCCCTGGTTGGTCCGATGACGGCCCGTCGCGACTACGTCGGGCGCCAGTGCATGGAGTTTTCCCTCTTCAGGTACAACTCACCTGGCATTCACCTACCATTTACCTGGCATTCTGTCACGCTTCTACGGACCCACGGAAATGGACGGCGTATGCGGTGCGAGATGAACGAGGCTCAAGTGTCGATCACGTCTCTTGGACGTGGTACCACACCAACAGTAGGCCGACAGCATCTCATGCAATGCGGCCAACTTGTGCATGCCCAGGTCGTGTGCCACGTTGTCCCAACAACGAGCGGCTGAAAGGACTCTGCAAGCGCACAGTCGCGATCCTGACCTCAAAGTTGAAGCAGTGTTTAGTGGCATATACATGTCGAAGCCCCGAATCAAATCCATTGCACTTTTCTTCGCTGACTTGTCTAATGATCCATTGTACTTTTTTCTGGAACCAGATAGGAGTTGCCAGGACTGTCGCCACTCCCAAAAACCCAAGCTCATCATGCATTATGTTTTGACTTCCTATGGACAGGATTGACGACATGTAGGGCAGGTTGACATGCACCTACGGGGTAACACGACGAATCTTTCAAATGAAATATCGCCTTGAGGGTTGTTGAACCATGTTATGTCTTGTTGTGAAAACAAACGCCAGATCCAACACTCCCCAATGCTAACACTGACCGTGGGGGCAGTGCATTGCAGATCGAGGCAAGATGTTATGATCGAGCCCAATCTGCAAGAACTGCCCGTGTGCTGGAAAGGAGGACAAAACCTAATGACGTTAGGAGACTTGGAGCGGCTGGCATTACCTCTGCGGCCCGAGGAACGTGCTCAGATTATGCCCCAAGAGTCTTCGCAAGCGTGACAGAACTTGCTACAGGCAATACTTGCCGAGAGACTGTAGTTGCTGATACTGATGGCTTCGTCCTTGAAAGCGTCGGCGAAATCGTCTTTGCCTTTGGCCATGGCTCCCACGAAGACACAGATGCTCTCCGTGGCGCCGAGGGTGTCGACATAATCCCGGACGCGGACGACATCTGCGTCGAAACTTAAGGTGACCTTCCGGCAATTTGGTGGCAGGTGGTCCGTGATGGGGTTCTTGATGACTTTGAGAAGCTTCTCTTGCGAATTGACCGATCGTATTGACAGTTTGTGGAGGAGTTGGACCATCAGACCAGCAAATCGCTTGAACGTTCTAGGGATGCGGACGGTTGGGCTGACCTCGATCAAAACGCCTTGAGCGGTGTGGATGTAGATCTGGAGCTTGCCGGCCTTGTTGATGGGAGAGTCCAGGAGTGTGAGCAGGCACTGGACGTTGAAGTCAGCTCGCCATGACGGGGTGCTCGCATGTGGGATGTATAGCCACCTGATGCGTGATATCCGGCCGGGCGTCACTTATGTCTCGCCCCATCTTTCGCATAACACCAATATGTTCATCGCTGTTTAGCAGCGAATATTTTTCTTCCTTGCCCCCAGGCTTCCCGCTGTGGGCGGCTCGGTATGTCTCGAGGGAAGCATTTGAGAGAACCACAATCAGCCGCTTCGTGTCCTTGTCTGTCGACGCTATGGGGACATGTTGCTCAGCGATGAGCCGAGGAAGCTCGGGCGCAGGGAGAGACTGTGTCCCTGCAGAAAGAGGTGAGTCAAGAATCACAAGAGAACGAGAAGTCTTGAAACTTGGGCGGAACTCGCGGAGTATCTCCGCAGGACTGTGTGTTGAACTCCACATGGTTGGACATACTCGACCGCTTTCTCTTGGTGCCGGCTTCGTTAGATCTGGTAGCCATGGTCTCGAGGCTATAGGGGATGTCGTGGAATCGAGGCTCAATCCGGGAGCAAGGTTGGATAAGGAGTCAGAAAGATACAGAGAAGACAGCGGTCTGTGGAAAGATATCAAACGGACGATGCTAGCGACACTGGTTGGACAACAGCATCTGTCAATTAATTTGAGTCTGTGGAGGTTTTCATGCCTCGACCAAAATTTAGACCCCGTGCCGAGAACCTTCACCGTTTGTGTCGGTTGGTGTCTGTTTTGTTCGTGTTCCCACCGTTCCGAGTCGCGTGATGACTCATCGATCACGTGGCGTTAGCATTGCATCTCTGACGGGCGTCTTTTCTCATCGATCCCTCACACTTCCCTCACATTTTGGGCGCTGGAGCTGGATCAGTCTTACGTCGAAAGCCCACATGTATTAATCGAATACTGCCAGGAGCAGCCAGGTTAGGCAATGTAACCGTTGCGAGCTACAGTATCACTTTCCACCACCATCTTCCAAACCTTGTACCAAAACGCCAGACAATCCTCCCGCCATTGGAACCTCTGGATCACTTTCTGCAAGGAGCTCCATTCCCCAGTCTCTGGATATCTGCTCATCATCTTGATCACTAATCGGAACCGAGGATCGTCTTCTGAGTCTGAACGGGCTCGTAAAAACGTTGCTGTCAGCGACCCAGCCAGCTTAATGCAGACCCAGATCAGCAAGTCTGCTGTCGCTGCATCTGACTGCTGGTTGACCCTGTCCAGAAATTTGGAGCAGCATGAGACCCATCTCATGACCGCTGGACGGTAGAACGGTGAGTATCGCTCTGCGTGAGTCGTGTCGAGGAGTGTGTGCTGAAGGCCGATCAACAGGATGTAGTCCGCCAATGTTAGTCCACCGTGATTGGGCAAGAGCCAATTTCCCAGGAGATTCCATCCTCGCTCCCGCAATTCCATGTTCAATGCGTTCTGGACACTGTAAGGCGAGTTCTGGCATAGGTCCACGTCCTGCCAATTGTCGTAAATGTCCCTGGCATGGACAAAGACGGGTGCGGACAATCTCCTTTCCTGAACCAACCGCAGGATTCCCTCCCCAAAACGCACGGGTCCAGCGGTACTATCCTCCGCATTAAGCCCTTCGAGGACATTGGGAGCAATTATATGTTGATCGCTGGATGCTTCATTGTAGACCGCTGTGGTGAGATCGTCATTTGTGACTGAAACGCGAAGGAAGTACCATAGCGCCAGAACCCTTTGACAGATGAGCTGAACATTAGCAATTCTCAACACTGGACTACCACTTACCCTCTGATAGCTGGCCCGAGTAACTTGCACTTGTCAAAGTACGCCAATCCTCCATGCAGATCAACCAACCGATGCAAGCCGTTGATATGGGCCTCGAACGCGGTCATGTTGCCTGCCAGATACTATCCCAGACCAGTCTTTGTCAGTCCAACACAAGCTGATCCACTGTCGAGACCGGTAAGGCCGTTAGGCTACCTCACATACCTCTAACTCGAGGAGTGCAAGGATCGTCCAGAGAACGGCGGTCTCGCGGTAACCGTCACCTTCCCCCAACGTCCGCTGGAGGGTACTCAAGACATTGCCATAGTGGTACGCCGTCTCCTTGTCGACCTGACCCTGCTCCCAGTGATGGATCCGCAGATTGGATAACGATAGTGCGATCAGGGCTTCAAACATGACAGGATGTTCCAGGCTATACTGAAAATACTGGTGTACAGGCGAGGTTTCTGTCGTGCTTTCGGGGGGCCTTTGATACCTCCTGGGACCACCTGTTGCTGTGCGCCTGAGAAGGTGCGTTGGACCGTATGCATTCAAGACTGGAGAAGCCAAGGGTGTTAGTTCTGTGTGCTCCATTCAATATGGTGGACTAGACCCCACCCGAAGAAGACTTACAGAAGTCCACCACCTCTGGAAGCCAGTCCTGTGATCGGATGGGATACGATGTAAATGGGTCTGACCTCAACCCGTGCTGGTCCCGATCGATCCAGTCTCGGATTGGAGCTCCTCTTGCGCGCAGTTGTCTCTGGGATGGTGGCTTTGAGTTACCTGGCTTTGGGCCGGAGCCATTGGCTTCTCTCCTCGCCATAGGCTTCGAACGATTTCGAAAATTGACTCCGATGTACTGGGCTACTTTCTTCCGGGTTGCCGCATCCTGGCGTTGAGCTGGATGTGTGATGTTGATGAACGTAGCATTGGCTTCGAGTGGTGAAGGCTCCCCAGAGTGCGAACTCCCATCAGGTGCCGCGTCGTCGTGTCGGTACATCTTGAAGCGCACCATATTGATAGACTCGACGTTATACTGTCATCCCGTCGTGGGAAAGTCCTTTTGCGCGCTCAATGTATGAAGTCTTGGGGACTGTGCACGGCCGCATAGGTATTTGGCTTTACACTTTTGAGCCGCGTCTTCAGTCCGTGGTAGCTGATTGGAAATCTCCTGACGCAGAGAAGAGGCCATGACTAATGACGAATGACGCATTTACTCCCTTGCCAAGTCCCCTGGCTTGCTGGACAAGTGAGGAGTGCGTTTAAGTGGACGGGTTGTGATAAGCAGAATCACTTGATAAACCTCGAGGACGAGCGAGGAGGGAAAATCTGGCTTCGTCGTTGTAACCTTATTGCGGCGACAACGAGCTAGGTGACGAGCCCTGCATTCTGACGATGAAGGCTTGCGTTGGCCCGAGCCGTCTTCTGCATGCAATAGGGAGGGTTTTGCCTTCCATATAAGGTCAGCATTGATCCTCCGACTCACCAATCCCCTTCACCAAGAAAATACTCCTGAAGATCTCGTTAGCACCGGCAGATGCAGGACCTCCCTGTTGATCGTACATTGCGTTGACGGCCACTGAGTTCGCAGTTGGACTCAAATTTGGAATGCATTTTGGGGGTACTCGTCCATCTCCAGACCAAGACAAAGACAGCGATTCAATCTCCGTTTTACATTTCCAGAATGTGTCGCAACCCCACCATGACAAATAGCATCCTCACCTTCCAGGTTCAAGGCATGCGAACCGAAGCGCAGGCGATTGACCCACGTGCCCGAGCGGCCCATTGCTGCCGTAGTATTCTACTAGACTCCTCGTCTGAATCGGCTTTCCAGTTCTGTGCTCATGGAAGCTGCGCATGAAAAGCAACAAAAGCACCGCTTCCGCTTCCACTTCCGCTTCTCCAACCAAACAGCGTTGCGTAAGTTTCACGACTTTTTGAAGATAGCCGCGATACGCTCGTGCGGAATTGGTGGACAAGAAACATCATCGAAATAGAGCACCCGGAAACACAGATATTCCTGGTGCCCCAGTGACAAATATCAAACGACTTCGGTCCTTGATGGCCGTGGGAAGAGTTGACTGGCATGTGGCGAGGGTCGTATCGATAAAGAACTTTAGAAGTTGCACCAATGGTGCCATGCCGAATCGGTGCAGCCATAAGACGACGTCGTACCGAAGACGCTCCTCTCGCGATAAAGTCGTGGTCAACAACTATGTTGTGGTGACAGGTTCTCGAGTATCGTCGTGTATCTGGCATAGTATTTGTTTGGAACTTGTGGTGTTGTCCTTGAGAAAGTCCAGCTGTCGTACTTCCGGCAGGAACTTATAGAATGCTTGCATGTGCGTGCGCCGGAATACGACTTTCCAATATGGAATTCTGTATGCCGCAGTGGGGCAATGCTACCCACACGTCAATGATCGAGAGAATTTCTCGGTGACCTTTCGATAATTGTTTCCTTTGCGAGAAGATCTGTCTCACGGCTGCTTGATGGACTCGGGTCGCATCATAGTCTTCAGAAGTGCAATCCCCAGGGCTGTGAGTAGTCGAAGGTCGAACGCATGACACATATATAGCTCTGGCCTAAGAATCACAAATTAGATGGCAGTGGATCTGTGGGCATACTTATACCAAAACTGTGGTGAGTATACTCCCACTTGCCGGGTATCTTCCATGAAGCTCCCGGTAGAATCACGGTCAGACATCGCCGAAGCGAGAGCTTGCGCGTCGATTGCGCTTACTGGACGACTCGTGAGAGAACTGTCACAAACACCCACACCAACAAGAAAGCTACTGTTGCAGCCCGAGCCTTGTATGCGTGTGCCTGTATGATCGAAGGTTGAATTTGTCTTATTGCCCAATGATCAGATCGCCTCATCGTCAGACGAGAGACCAGACTCGGCTGACAGATATCCTCGTTGCAATGGATCAGGAGTCGCTCTTGTGCAGATTAGGATGGACATGGCATGCTGGATCACAATGAGGAAGTTGATTCTGAAATGGTCATTTTGTATGGGATTCCATTCCCGGACAGAATCTGCTATTATGGCAAGTAGAAACCCAGTGCGTGATATGATCGATGAGGAAGCGATATCAAACTGAAAGATGCTGGAAGGAGGTTGTCATGACCACGTGTGTCTCTCAGGAGCAAAGTACCTTACTAGAAGTTCAAAGTCCTCTTGATTCTATGCCTGGAGACTTCCGGGTGTCGGCGTCCTCCAGGCTTAGTGCAACTGCATTCTAAGGTGACTGTCTCACCATTGAGCTGATGAGCAGAAACTCTGTCACCACTGTTAAGTGACTTGTGCAGTTTCAGACTCACTGACTCGCGTTGTGTGGGCCGCGCTGCTTACCCTGAGTCGCGTGACTCAGTCCACGCTAGCGGTGCTAGTGACCAGGCAATGAATTCTTTTGTCTGGCGCAGCGAACAGATGTGTCGCGTATCCAAGCACCAACAACAGCAGACTACAAAGCGATTGATCCTGCTTCTCAATATTAAGCCCATTGATTGCGCTGCTGCATCCTTCCGCTGACATATGCTTATATGAACCGTATCTGCGCCCAGCAAGACGGACTCACAGCGACTGGTGCGCTCTTCGAAACAAGAGGATGAATTGAGGCCGCGCGACTCGAAGGCAGCTGAACTGCTCTCATCTCTAACATCTGCAATCATCCATCGGGGTTAACAGGTTACCGAGAGCCCGCCGCCGCCATGTTCTTCCTGCGATACCTCGAGCGCGAGATGAAAATCCACCCCTCTTTCTTCGCGTCCAATATCACGGGGATCCTCAAAAACCAACTGTATGCCGAGTTGGAGGGGAGCTGCAATGGAGAATACTACATCGTCTGCATCATGGACATCTACAACATCTCTCCTGGGAAGGTTGTGCCAGGCCTAGGTGAAGCGATCTACACCATCCTTTACCGCGCAATCTTGTGGAAGCCATTCAAAGGAGAGACGGTAGGACTCGTGACACATGGTTGGCAAAAGCGGTGTGTTGACGACGCTCGTGTTTAGATCGACTGCGCCGTCAATTCCATCAAGCCACAAGGAGTCTTCTGCGAAGCTGGCCCGCTGACGGTGTTTGTCTCGAAGCTGGTAGGTCGTGACGAGCATGCTCCAAGGACCCAGCTTGTATTGACATGGTGAAAAGCATATTCCACCTGATATGCGATACAACCCAGATGCCACCCCTCCGCAGTATTCCAACAACTCCGGCGACGTGATCGAGAAGGGCTCCGCTGTTAGGGTCCGGCTGATCGGTCTGCGAAGCGACGTCAACCACATTTACGCGATCGGAAAAATGTCGTCGCAGTGGTTTGGGTAAGCGAAGGCTGTCCATTCGTAGCAAAGAAATACTGACATGATGGTTAGACCGGCCTGAGGTGGCTTGCTATCCAGGACGTCCATTATCCGTGTGGCAAAATCAGATCTTTTCACAAAATGGTGGCCAACGACGTGAGAAATATCCCACCACGCCTGGAACTCATTGTGGAAGCTGTTGGGTTCCGGCTGTCTGCCTCCCGCCGAAGGATAGAGGCCTTGGACATGATACAGGAATCTACCTATTCTTGAATGCTTCCCGGAGAGAAGATGTCAGGAATTGGAAATAACCTGGCCATCAACGCCCAGACGAACTGTACTGGGCACTCGTACCTCGTAGAAGTACGAGTCCCGATCTTGGTTGATCTCAAACATGGCCCCGTCAGAAGGGAAGATGAAACTGCACTAATGCGGGGATGCTGTCGGGGCTGAGGTTGGCTGTTTTGGACGCGATGGGCGACGGCGGGGCAACGCGTCTCCCCATTGAACCGCCTCGTGCATCCTGCGCCGCCGAGAAGGAACATGCACCGTTCAGGGACACTGTAAACACCACTGCTTCAGTTAAACACTCCGGTTTACTGCCCGCTTATTCGTGAACTGATCCTACTGCGTACCCATTTTTTGAAGCGCAGGCCGCCAGCTCATCCCTTTCCACTATCCGATCGACTCTGTTTACTTACCTGCCTCAGTCCGCTTTTTTTCTGCCACACTCATCACCAACGTCACCCGCATAGAGGCTGCTGGTGTGTCCGCTCAAGACTGCGCACGCTTCCTCACTTCTCCTACCTCGTCATACTCCAAGCTCAAACAGCTCGTGCCACTTTCAAGATGGCACTGAAGGAGGTCTACCAGCGGTTTCTAGAGCTGCCTAATCCTCTCAGCCTGTCCGAGACTGCCTCACTCTACTACGTTACCACGCTCAACACCTTCTCCTCGTCTGGCGACATTATCCGACACCTCGAGTCCCAAAACAAAAAGGTTGTCCGGACTAAAAATGCGAGGATACTTTCGGCCGTGGAGGGATCTAACGCGCTTGCGCTCGAAGTAGAAACAGTGCTACAGTTTATCGCAGGCGGAGGGACCTACCTACCAGGTCTAGAGAACTTCATTGTGGATAAAGTTGCAGTGCTTCCCACGGTAGGGACGCTTGATGCTCAAACTCATGCCTGAGACTGACCGGGTGCCGATCTAGACTCACATTGTCCACTTCGACAGGGAACGCAAAATCTCCCAGATTCGCATTTCTTGGGATCAGGCATGTCTGCTGAAACAGACCGAAGTCATTGGTTCAAGAGGGAGGAATTGGCCTGTCTTTGACGGCAAGGAACAAATCAGGCTCATCAACACCGGCTCGAATGCCATGCCAGCAGCGCCCGAGTTGCCAACCAGTCCTCGAGGCCGGTCTGAAAACCAAAGCATTTCCTCGTCCCGCAATGTGTCTCCCAGCAAGAGACATATCAAAGACCCGCACGCGAGCCTCGATCTGTTCTCTCCAAAGCCTATAGACGAGAATGAACGCGTCCTGAGCCCGAATGCTGTCGCTCCACGGGCCTCAGCAAGACCTCCCCCGCGCGAAATGAGTGAGCTGTTCGCGGCAGGTCATGAAGATCACGCGCCCGGCTCGCCCAAAAAGGTTCCCACCGACCCAGTCATTGCACCCAAAGCTGGCAGTAGTCAGAAGTTCTCCGCTC